GCTCGAACAGCCAGGTCTTGACTCTTTAAGTGGGAGGGGGCTGATCTAATGTCCCTAGGAAGGGCGTTCCATAGCTGAGAGGCCACCACCGAGAAGGCCCTGTCTGTCGTCCCCGCCAAACGTATTTGTGACTCAGGCGGGATTGTGAGCAGGACCCCCCCAGACAATCTTAAATTCCTAGCAGGTTCATAAGGGGAGATGTGTTCAGACAGGTAAGTTGGCCAGAACCATTTAGGGCTCTATAGGCTACAGCCAACACTTTGAATTGTGCCCGGTTGCAGACTGGCAGCCAATGGAGCTGGCGTTACAGAGGAGTTGTATGCTCTCTGAGCGCCGCTCCTGTTAGCAATCTGGTTGCCGTCCGTTGGACCATTTGAAGCTTCTGGACAGTCTTCAAAGGCAATCCTACATAAAGTGTGTTGCAGTAGTCTACACAGTATGTAACCAGAGCGTGGACTACCATGGCCAACTCACATACACACTTTGTTGTTGCGGTGCAACTTTGACGCTCTGCAAGATACGGATGAGTAGATTCCAATTGAACCTCAAGAGTGCGAAATATATTATAACTATCTTGACCAGTGCTGGGATTCAATTGTCCAGCTGCTCTTACTGTCGAGATGTTCCTTCTAAACTTCTATCTACCTCCTATATCTTAAAACCATGAGACCATTTGCAGCATCACTGCCTCATTGTGTCCTAGTTTCCAGAGTGGCAGAAAACAAGCCTCCTTCCTCCTCAATGGGACATGTAAACATGGCTCTCATGTCCTCTTCTCTCAGCCTTCTCTTCTCCAAGCTACACATCCCCAGCTTCCTCTGCTGCTCCTTCGAAGGCTTGGCTTCCAGAACTTTGACCATTTTTGGTGGCCCTTCTCAGGATCCCATTCCAGCTTGTCCATATGCTTCTGGAACTGGACCCAGGATTATTCAAGGTGAAGTCTGACTGAAGCAGAAGAAAGTGGGACTGTGACTTCCCTCAATCTAGAGCAGTGGTCTCAACCTGTGGTCTTCAGTTGTTTTGATCTTTAACTCTCAGAATTCCTAACAGCTGGTAAACTGGGTGGGACTTCTGGGAGCTGTAGGTCAAAACATCTGGGACCCACAGCTTGAGAACCACTGATCTAGATACAATGCTACTGATGCAACCTAGAATTGCATTGGCCCTTTTAGATGCCACATCACACTGTTGACTCATGTTCAGCATACGGTCTACTACTAATACTCATAGATCCTGACTAGAGCAGAATAGAGTGAGACTATCAAGTTTGCAGATGAGACCAAATGACAGGATCTGAATTCAAAAGGACCTCAACAGATGAGAGCTGATTGGCCAAAAGTAACAAAATGAACTACAACAAGGACAAATGTAGGATCCTACACTTAGGCAGAAAATGTAAAAATACAGGACAGGGGATCCTTGGCTTGACATGTGAGAAAGATCTTCGAGTCTTCATGGAGAACAAGTTGAACGTGAGCCAAGAGTATGGTGCAGCATCTCAGAAAGCGAATGGGATTTTGGGCTGCACCCAAAAGAGCAGAGTGTCCAGATCAGTGGTTCTCAACCTGGGGGTCGCAACCCCCCAAGGGGTCGCCTGGCCATTTCAGAGGGGTCGCGAGGTTGCCTCCTTTGGCCCCGCCCCCTCCGACTCCCGAAATAGCGGCCAGACCCTAGGACCACCCTCTTCTCACCCCCTTCAAGGCCTCCGCCGCTGGTGGAAGCCTCGAAAAACGGCGAGAGGAGAGTGGAGCAGCAGGAGCAGTGAGGATTGCCTTCACCCTTCTCTGGGCTCTTCTTCCTCCTCCTCTCCGTTTGGGGACCTCCAAACAGAGAGGAGGGGGAAGACCCTGGAAGAGAAGGAGGGTGAGCCTCTCTGCTTCTGCTGCCCTGTGCCACCTCTTCTCGCAACCCCCCGAGGGGTCACCTGGCCATTTCAGAGGGGTCGCGAGGTTGCCTCCTTTGGCCCCGCCTCCTCCGACTCCCGAAATAGCGGCCAGACCCTGGGACCACTCTCTTCTCGCCCCCTTTGAGGCCTCCGCCGCTGGTGGAAGCCTCAAAAAGGGCAAGAGGAGCGTGGGGCAGCAGGAGCAGTGAGACTTGCACTCGCCCTTCTCCTCTGGGCTCTTCCTCCTCCTCCTCTCCATTTGGGGACCTCCAGTATTTTCTGTTGGTCATGTGGGTTCTCTGTGCCAAGTTTGGTCCAGTTCTGTAATTTGTGGGGGGTCTCAGTGATCTGTGGAAGTCAGAGCTGAATCGGTTGAAGGTACTGCAAATCCCATCATCCATTGTCCATACTCACAGAATCATAGAATCATAGAATTAAAGAGTTGGAAGAGACCTCATGGGCCATCCAGTCCAACCCCCTGCCAAGAAGCAGGAATATTGCATTCAAATCACCCCTGACAGATGGCCATCCAGCCTCTGTTTAAAAGCTTCCAAAGAAGGAGCCTCCACCACACTCCGGGGCAGAGAGTTCCACTGTTGAACGGCTCTCACAGTCAGGAAGTTCTTCCTCATGTTCAGATGGAACAAACTCCCCCAAACATATTGTTTTTGTGACTAATCACTATGCTTTAATTAGGTTCAATTTGTAACAATAAAAACACATCCTACATATCAGATATTTACATTAGATTCATAACAGTATCTAAAGTAGCAATGAAAACAATGAAAATAATTTTATGGTTGGGGGTCACCATAACATGAGGAACTGTATTTATGGGTCACGGCTTTAGAAAGTTTGAGAACCACTGGTCTAGATCAAGGGAAGTCCTGGTGTCTCTCTATTCTGCTTTGGTCAGACCTCTTCACCTGGAATGCTGAGCCCAATTCTGAGCACCAAAAGAGACATTGACTCTAAGCTGGAAAGAGTCCAGAGGAAGAAGGCAACTCAAAGGGTCAAAGCTCTGAAGAGCATGAATCCCTTGGAGGAGCATCGTAAAGAGCTGGATCCGTTTATCCTGCAGAAGAGAAGATTGAGAGAAGACATGAGAGCCATGAATAAATAAATATGTGAAAGGTTATCATAAGGAAGAGGGAGCAGGATTGTTTTCTGCAGCCTTGAAAACTAGAAATGGGTTCAAATTACAGAAAGGAGACTCTATCTGAACATGAGGAAGAACTTCTTGACTGTGAGAGCCGTTCAGCAGTGGAACTCTCTGCCCTGGAGTGTGGTGGAGGCTCCTTCTTTGGAGGCTTTTAAACAGAGGCTGGATGACCATCTGTCAGGGGTGCTTTTAATGCAATATTCCTGCTTCTTGGCAGAATGGGGTTGGACTGGATGGCACATGAGGTCTCTTCCAACTCTAGGATTCTATGATTCCTGACTGTAAGGAGAGCTGTTCTGTGTGGAACTCTTTGCCTCAGAGTATAGAGGAGACTCCTTCTTTGGAGGGTTATAAACAGAGACTGGACTGACCTTGAGGGAGCTGGGGGTGGTAACAGCCGACAGGGAGCTCTGGCGTGGGCTGGTCCATGAGGTCACGAAGAGTCGGAGACGACTGAACGAATGAACAACAACAAACAGAGACTGAATGGTCATCTGTTGGGGGAGCTTTGATTGTGCTTTTCCTGCAGGGTTGGGTTTGATGGCTTTTTGTCTCTTCCAACTCTAGGATTTGATGATCTCGACACTATTCTGCTATGGATGCAGGCTAGAATCGCGTCGGCTTTTGTAGCCGCTGCTTCACAAAGCTCAGCTTGTGGCTACTCTCCTAAACCCTTCTTATATGCACTGTTGTCAAGGAAGTGTCACTTAAGTGTCTACCTAAGTGTCTTACCAGACCAACCGAAATGTCTTGGTGATGAAGTTTAACAGTGACAAATGCAAGATACTCCAATTTGGCAGGAAAAACGAAATGCAAAGATACAGAATGGGGGACAATGAGGCCTGGCTCGAGAGCAGTACGTGTGAAAAAGATCTTGGAGTCCTCGTGGGGAGGAGGCGGCAAAAAAAGCCAATGGGATTTTGGCTTGCATCAATAGGAGCCTAGTGTCTAGATCTAAGGAAGTCATGCTACCCCTCTATTCTGCTTTGGTTAGACCACACCTGGAATATTGTGTCCAATTCTGGGCACCCCATTCAAGAGAGATATTGACAAGCTGGAATGTGTCCAGAGGAGGGCGACTAAAATGATCAAGGGTCTGGAGAACAAGCCCTATGAGGAGCGGCTTAAGGAGCTGGGCATGTTTAGCCTGAAGAAGGATGAGAAGAGATATGATAGATGTGTATAAATATGTGAGAGGAAGCCACAGGGAGGAGGGAGCAAGCTTGTTTTCTGCTTCTTGGAGACTAGGACGCGGAACAATGGCTTCAAACTACAAGAGAGGAGATTCCATCTGAACATGAGGAAGAACTTCCTGACTGTGAGAGCCGTTCAGCAGTGGAACTCTCTGCCCCGGAGTGTGGTGGAGGCTGCTTCTTTGGAGGCTTTTAAACAGGGGCTGGATGGCCATCTGTCAGGGGTGATTTGAGTGCAGTGTTCCTGCTTCTTGGCAGAATGGGGTTGGACTGGATGGCCCAGGAGGTCTCTTCCAACTCTTTGATTCTAGGATTCTATGATCTGTCTGTATTGATACTAAAGAGAAAGGGTTACGGTCAGTGGTAGGGGACCCCTACTGAGCAAACGGCTGACCTTCTCGCTCCACAAGGCCTGGTTGTTGTGACCCTCGGAGAAGAGGAAGTCCTGGAGGAGGCGCAGGAGCTTCAGCGCATTCTGGGTCAAGCTGGGCAGCATGGCCGCCGTGGACTCTTTGATGTCCGTCAACGCCGACTCCATCATCATCTCCAAAAGGCTGGGAGGGAAACAGGAAAGGGGAATAGCAAACATATCAGCTGATGTCACATTAAAACACCATGTTGCTTTCAGGGAATATCTGGGAAGTATTTGGGATCGCTCTCCATTTCTGGCTCTTTAGCCTTAATATTTTAAAATGCAAGAAGTCAAGGGGGCATTAAAAAATAAGTGATCATGCCTGGGGGGTTTTCGCAAGTCACACTGGGCCCTATAATAAAATAATAATCATATCTATATCTATATAAATAAAAATGTAATGTTTTTTGTGGGATTAACATGACTCCAAAACCACTGGACGAATTTGGAGCCCCTGGTGACGCAATTGGTAAAATCCTTGTACTGGCAGGACTGAAGACCGACAGGTCGTAGGTTCAAATCCAGGGAAGGGCGTGGATGAGCTCCCTCTATCAGCTCCAGCTCTCCATGCAGGGACATGAGAGAAGCCTCCCACAAGGATGGTAAAACATCAAAAACATCCGGACGTCCCTTGGGCAACGTCCTTGCAGACGGCCAATTCGCTCACACCAGAAGCGACTTGCAGTTTCTCAAGTTGCTCCTGACATGACAAAACGAACAAACAAACAAAAAAAAAACTGGACAGATTGACACCAAATTTGGACACAATACACCTTATCAGGCTAACGAGTGACCAACACTCATAAAAACACTGAAAAACACAGCAAAAGATATTTAAAAAGCCAAAACCCAAAAATTACATTACAAGACATGCGCAAAACCATACACACACACACACACACTAGCGGTCCCCTGCCACGCATTGCTGTGGCTCAGTCTGGTAATATGGAAAATAAAGTAATTATAATATATGTAATGTCTTTCTGCTTGTGAGTAAATAGTTTTTCTTGATGTTTCTTTGACAGTGTTGATGTGGAGATTGTCTGGTTTGCCTACTCTGGGACATGCAACATAGAATTGTCCATGTTTAGGAGTCCCTTTCAAATCTATAATACTTTATCTCTCTGTGTGTGAATCATATATATCTATCTATATCTATGGCTGGATGGCTCTCTGTCAGGAGGGCTTTGATTACGTTTTCTTGCCCTGGTGAAGGGAGTTGGACTGGATGGCCTTAAGTATTTTCTGTTGGTCATGGGGGTTCTGTGTGGGAAGTTTGCCCCAGTTCTGTCATTCGTGGGGTTCATTCAGAATATCTTTGATTGTAGGTGAACTATAAATCCCAGTAACTACAACTCCCAAATGCCAAGGTCTATTTCCCCCAAACTCCATCTGTGTTTATATTTGGGCATATGGAATATTCGTGCCAAATTTGATCCAGATCCATCATTGTTTGAGTCCACAGTGCTCTCTGGATGTAGGTGAACTACAACTCCCAAACTCAAGGTCAGTGCCCATCAAACGCTGCTAGTATTTTCTGTTGGTCATGGGAGGCCTGTGTGCCAAGTTTGCTTCAATTCCATCGTTGGTGGAGTTCAGAATGCTCTTTGATTATAGGTGAACTATAAATCCCAGCAACTACAACTCCCAAATGACAAAATCATAATTTTTTGAGTGATGGTCACTTCTTGTGTAGTGAGATGTTTTGTTGCCAAATTTGGTGTGATTTCATTTGTTGGTCCTTTTGTTTTTAAGGTACTCATTATGCACAGAGCATTTATATATATATAGATATGCAAACATACATATGTATTGTATACACATAGGTAAAGGTAAAGGTTTTCCCCTGACATTAAGTCCAGTTGTGTCCAACTCTGGGGGTTGGTGCTCATCTCCATATACACAAATATACACACACATATATACACGGACAGCTCCACAGCAATGCGTGGCAGGGGATGGCTAGTGTGTGTGTATATATATATGTGTGTGTGTGTGTGTGTGTGTGTGAATTTATTTATGATATAATAAAATTATGGCGCAATGGGTTAAACCCTTGTGCTGCTGAACTGCTGATCTGAAGGTCAGCAGTTCGAATCTGAGAGATCAGGTGAGCTCCCGTTTGTCAGCTCCAGCTTTTGCCAACCTAGCAGTTTGAAAACATGCAAATATCAGGTACCGCTTTGGAAGGAAAAGGCAAAGAGGTGCTCCGAGCAATCTTGCTGGCCACATAATCAGGAGATGACAATGCAGGCTCTTTGGCTTGAGAAATGGAGGACAACACTTCCCCAGAGCCAGAGACCAACCAACTAGGTAATGACATTGATAACCCAGGAACAAAAATCGTGTTACATAGTGCAATAATGTTATACAGGGTTAGTCAAAATGAATAGGCCAATAAGAAAATTAATTTTAGACGAATGTATGTTTACTGTAACCAAACCACAGCTACGTAGCGACAGATAAACTATCAAAGTTTTGTCTCACCTTCAGAGATGTTCGATATGGGCGCTCCGTGTGACACGGCAGATGTCCAAGCGATAGTCCAGTTCATTCCTCATCCGTTGCAGCACATCCGACGTAATGGCATCGAATGCAGCAACGTCTGGGAAGGTGTTCGTTGAGGTCCTAACCCTATCCCTATCCCTATCCCTATCCCTAACCCTAACCCTATCCCTAACCCTAACCCTAACCCTAACCCTAACCCTAACCCTAACCCTATCCCTAACCCTAACCCTAACCCTAACCATATCCCACCCTCACCCTAACCCTTGAAATTCTCGCTGGACCGTAATTACTGACATTGTTTTAGCAAATGTCATCACACAAAACGCCTTCTCTTTGCTTGATTCCGCCATTTTGAAAACAGCGACCCCTAGCGACGCCTAGCGGCATTAACGTGCATGTGTGTTGCTCAAAAAAAACTTTGATAGTTTATCTGTCGCTACGTAGCTGTGGTTTGGTTACAGTAAACATACATTCGTCTAAAATTAATTTTCTTATTGGCCTATTCATTTTGACTAACCCTGTATTTTCCTCTGTCTTTGCTATAGATAAAACCGCCTTCCCACTGCACACCTGCGCTTGACCTCGTCCGGTGGGCGCACCAGTTCACAGGCGGATCCCAGCTTGGTGAGGACGGAGAAGACCTGTCCTCGCTCCTTCCAGGCCGCGTCATCCCAGCCTTCCACGCCGCGCCACGTGACGGAGAAGATGATGTTGGTGAGTAGGTTGCAAAGCTCCTCCTCGGGGGTTTGCTGTAGGGGAAGAGATCCAGAGACATGCTGGAGACAAGTGCTGGAAACTATAGGAATCTAAGAGTCTCCCATTTGGAGATCGTGGATGACCTCAGTCCACAAATGAGGTTGTTGTGGTTGCATGTCTTCAAGTCATTTCTGACTTATGACAACCAAATGGAAAACCTATTATGAGGTCTTCTGTGGCTGAGAGTGTGTGAGTGTTGCACTGTATCCCTGGAACACCTTTTCACCCAACACCAGATAATCCAATAAGTAAAAGTTTATTAATGAATAAGTATAAAAGGAAAAAAGCAAGTCAAAAAGGAAGCAGAAAAAGTACAAAAATAATTCCCAACAGGATCAAGAGTTTATCAGTTTTTGAACCAAGGCATCAAAAGGCAATCCACAGAGACTTGTGTTAACACAAAGTAAAATAATACTTAAGCAGGGTATTGTTCAAAAGTTATATCCATAAGCATGAAAACAGGAACACAAGAAAGGCAAAACCTCCAAGAACGTGAAGTAATAAACAGGAATCAAACCAAGGATCTTGAAATACAAGAACTTGGAACGAAGACTAAAAACTGTGAGTTGTTTTCCTCTTGTTGCAACGTTGTTGCATTATTATTTATTTTAGGTTCTTGTGGGTTTTTTCGGGCTATTGAGCCATGTTCTAGAGGTATTTCTCCTGACGTTTCGCCTGCATCTATGGCAAGCATCCTCAGAGGTAGTGAGGTCTGTTGGAATTAGGACAATGGGTTTATATATCTGTGGAATGGCTGGGGTGGGGCAAGGAGCTCTTCTCTGCTGGAGCTGGGTGTGAATGTTTCAACTGACCACCTTCATTAGCATTTGAAGGCCTGGCTGAGCCTGGGAAAATCTTTTGTTGAGAGGTGTTAAGATGTGCCTGGTTGTTTCCTCTCTGTTGTTTTGCTGTTGTAATTTTAGAGTTTTTTAATACTGGTAGCCAGATTTTGTTCATTTTCATGGTTTCCTCCTTTCTGTTGAAATTGTCCACATGCTTATGGATTTCAACACCTTCTCTGTGTAGTCTGACATGGTGGTTGTTGGAGTGGTCCAGCATTTCTGTGTTCTCAAATAATATGCTGTGTCCAGGCTGGTTCCTCAGGTGCTCTGCTATGGCTGACTTCTCTGGTTGAAGTAGTCTGCAGTGCCTTTCATGTTCCTTGATTCGTGTTGGGGCAATGCTGCTGGTGGTCCCTCTGTAGACTTGTCCACAGCTGCATGGTATACAGTAGACTCCTGCAGAGGTGAGAGGATCCCTCTTGTCCTTTGTTGAACGTAGCATTTGTTGGATTTTCTTGGTGGGTTTGTAGATTGTTGTATGTTGTGTTTCCTCATAAGCTTCCCTATGCGGTCAGTGGTTCCCTTGATGTATAGCAGGAACACTCTGCAGGAGTCTACCGAATACCATGCAGCTGTGGACAAGTCTACATAGGGACCATCAAACGCAGCAAAACAACAGAGAGGAAACAACCAGGCACATCTTAACACCTCTCAGCAAGAGATTTTCCCAGGCTCAGCCAGGCCTTCAAATGCTAATGAAGGTGGTCAGTTGAAACATTCACACCTAGCTCCAGCAGAGAAAAGCTCTTTGCCCCACCCCAGCCTCTAGAACATGGCTCTATAGCCCGAAAAAACCCACAAGAACCTAGTGATTCCAGCCATGGAAGCCTTCGACAATACATTATTTATTTTATTTACTGCATTTGTATACTGCCGTTCTCAGCCAATCGGCGACTCAAGGCAGTTTCCAACAAATCAGTACACATAAAATCATAATACAGATTGAAACATTAAAACAGTATAACACACAAGAGCAATGAAAACATGAGTGTCTCCTTATTATCAAGCATTGTCCAGTTCCTTCGTCAAGTCATTCGATTTCCTATGTATTAGCTACTCTGCATTTGTAAACGCTTGCTCAAACAACCATGTTTTAACTTGCCTCCGAAACATTAAGAGGGAGGGAGCCGATCTGATCTCCCTAGGAAGGGTGTTCCACTAAAGGCCCGAGAGCCCAGAAACCACTTAAAAGGCCTCAATCCTTCCCATGACATCACTTCGCACACACCTACCTTTTCTCTCCTTATCTCTAAGCCTTTGAGAAAAACTAATTTGTCTCATAATACCTTATGTTATATGTTAAGTTTTACTTTTCCTCTCAAGTATTCTCTAAGTTGAGTAAAATTGAATATAGAACATAAGACACCATAACAAGATTTATACAACTTGATGACTGCACCTCTGTGGACTGAACTGGAACTCAACCAATTTTTATTTTTTCTCTTCACCTGTTTCAACCCCCCCCCCCCACCTCTAATTCCCTATCCCTATCCTCCCCTCTTTTCCAATCCCCAATACACTATCATTTTTCTTTCTTTCTTTAATTTCCCACTTTACCATCACTTCGATTGTTCCCGCTCTTTCATTGTCAAGGAAAAAAATCACAATAAAATTATTTTTTTAAAAAAGAGAAAAACAAATTTGTCTTTGTTTTACATTCTGCCTCCTAATTTCAAGTTGACTTGACTTGGAAAAATGTTTGTCTCCCCCATTCTCCTCCAAAGGCCACTCTGGCCTATTCTCATGGGAACTGATAATCACTTTATCCCATTGCCTGGGAATGGTCTAGAGCAGTGTTTCCCAACCTTCCTAATGCCGCGACCCCTTAGTACAGTTCCTCACATTGTAGTGACCCCCAACCATAACATTTTCATTGCTACTTCGTAACTGCAATTTTGCTACTGTTATGAATCGTAATGTAAATATCTGATATGCAGGATGTATCTTCAAATCCCAAATACCCAATATGCCCAAATTTGAATACTGGTGGGGTTGGGGGGATTCATTTGGGAGCTATAGTCGCTGGGAGCATTCTAACTCCACCAATGATTAAATTGAACCAAATTTAGCACACAGAACTCCCATGGCCAAGACAAAATACTGGGAGAATCTGGTGGACATTGACCTTGAATTTTTGGAGTTATAGTTCACCTACATCCAGAAAGCACTGTGGGCTCAAACAATGATGGATCTGGACCAAACTTGGCATGAATACTCAATATGCTGAAATGTGAACACTGGAGGAGTTTGAGAAAAATAGACCTTGACATTTGGGAGTTGTAGTTGCTGGGATGTATAGTTCACCTACAATGAAATAACATTCTGAACCCCACCAACGATAGAATTGGACCAAACTTCCCACACAGAACCAATGACCAACAGAAAATACTATGTTTTCTGATGGTCTTTGGTGACCCCTCTGACACGCCCTCACGACCCCCATAGGGTCCCAACCCCCAGGTTGAGAAACACTGGTCTAGAGATTCCAAAACATCTCTCTAGGCCCCTGCTATCTTCCACAGACTCCTCGGAAATTACAGGTTGCAACCCATCATCCCCTTCCTCATCTTCTGAGCACTCAGGAAGCTTATCTGATGCTTGCCAGGCTACAACAGTGACTCACTCAGTGGGCAAAATTATTTCTGCCAGTCCTTTCAATACCCTTGGATCTAATTAATTGGTCCCTAGAGACTTGAATCTTTTTGGGGTAGCCAGATATTACTGTACTGTCTCTTTACCTATACTTTACTTCATTTCCCCTACTACATCATCAGTGCCCTTTATTCATTTATTTACTATATTTATATACTGTTCCTCTCAGCCCACAGGCGACTTTGTACCCTCCTTCCAGGCAGAGATCTGTCCAAAATTTGCCTTAAGAAACATCTGTCAGGATTAATTTAGTTATGTATGTGTTTTAAATGTGCTTCTATGTATTTCCAAGATGGATTCTACTGTGTAGTAGAAATACTGTGCAGAATGTTCTTTCCATGAGGCTGTGATTATGTGACCTTGAGAGAAGTAAGGTAATGTTTGTTCTTGCTGGGAACAGAAGGGAGTAACCGGTCTCAGCAAAAAGAGATTAGCAGATGTGAAGAGACTTTCGTTTTGACTAGTTCCTGAATTGTAGCTCGCTGTAGTAAGACGTGTCTATTGAATGTGCTTAATAAAACTTAGTTTCTTTTGTAACTCAAAGCCTGCAGAGTCCTTATTTTGCAACACAGTGCCTGTTGATCTAGCAATCCTTCCGCTGTGCGCCGCCAAACTGTGACAACATCAACACACCATCTACTGAACTTACTGGTACCACCCCAAGTGTGTACCATCTCACAACAGATGAGCATGGAATTGGAAGCCTAAGTCTCGGAGTCATGATCCTACACTCAAACCACAACTCGCACTTTTCCTCACTCCCCACAACTACAAAAATTAAGGTACTCCCTCCAAATACCTTGTAAGGGAAGGGAAGGAGTGGCCAAAATGGCACAGGTAGACCATAACTTGTACCATGGCCATTATCACCATAGGCAATGTGGGTCATTTTCCCTTGATTGCCATAAAAAGGCTGGTCAGTGAAGCTCAGTATCAGATTCTGGAAAAAAATGTTGTTTTTATTATTATTACAGTTTCCAGAATCATGTGGTCAATAAATAAATGATACTGAGTAGAGATAACTTGCTACAAGAATCCTGGGGATTCTGGATGCTGTCGTCCAAAGCAACTTTTCCACCAAAAAGTGTTGGTGCCTCACTAAACTAGAAACCCATTATTCCATAGTATTGAACCATTGCAGTTAAAGTCGTGTCAAACTACAGTGTAGATGCATACATAATCTCTGGAGAAGCAAAAAACAAAGGTCCTAGGGGTTTCCAAACTTTGGAAAGTTTCCAAACTTTGGTCCCCCAGATGTTTTCAGCTCCAGCTCCTAGAATCGTGTTCTAATGTTTATATAAATGTAGATTTTAAATTGCACTTATATAGAATCCTAGAATCAAAGAGTTGGAAGAGACCTCATGGGCCATCCAGTCCAACCCCATTCTGCCAAGAAGCAGGAATATTGCATTCAAATCACCCCTGACAGATGACCATCCAGCCTCTGTTTCAAAGCTTCCAAAGAAGGAGCCTCCACCACACTCCGGGGCAGAGAGTTCCACTGCTGAACGGCTCTCACAGTCAGGAAGTTCTTCCTAATGTTCAGGAGGAATCTCCTTTCTTGTAGTTTGAAGCTATTGTTCCTTGTCCTAATCTCCATGGAAGCAATAAACAAGCTTGCTCTCTCCTCGTTCTCACATATTTATACATGGCTATCATATCTCCTCTCATCCTTCTCTTCTTCAGGCTAAACATGCCCAGCTCCTTAAGCTGCTCCTCATAGGGCTTGTTCTCCAGACCCTTGATCATTTGAGTCGCCCTCCTCTGGACACATTCCAGCTTGTCAATATCTCTCTTGAATTGTGGGGCCCAGAATTGGACACATATACTTTTCACGTAAGCTGCTTTGAGTCTTCTTGTGGAAATAAACAAACAAAATAACAATAATAACAATCCCCAACCAGGAATTCTGGGAGCTGAAGTCCAAAACATCTGTAAAGGTTGGAAACCATTGGCTTCGGTGGAGATCGAGCAGGTATGGGCCAACTTCGACCGTCCAAATGTTTTGGACTTCAATTCCCACAATTCCTAACAGCCTACAGCTGTCAGGAATTGTGGGAGTTGAAGTCCAAAACATCTGAAGGGAGGGCCGAAGTTGGCCTATGCCTGAGATAGAGTGTATGCCTTGCACCAAGTGGAGACAGAGAAAAGGGAAGCTCACCTGAGGGTTGCTTGTGTTGGAGACGTTATCGCTGGGCAGCGCCTCCTGGTAGATGGTCTCGTCCAAGACATTAGAGAGACTGGAGCTCTTCCGTGCCCGCGTCCCAGGGAAGGGCTTGAAGCTTTCTAAGGGGGAGGGCGTCCCCGGAAGGCTCACGGGGGTCTGGCTCCCGCTCTCGACCGTGGCGGCAGAGCTGGTGCTGCCAACGTCCAAGCCCAGGTCGAAGGGGGACATGGAGAACGGGGAGAGCGGGTGGTAGACGCGGTCCACCTGAACCGCTTCCATGCCGCGGGGCTCCCCCTGCCCGGGGCCGTCCGTGTTGTTGGAGGAGGAGGAATGGCTGGCCAGGTCAAAGGAGTCAAAGGGCTTGAAGGCATACGGCGGGAAGGGTTTGCTCCTCTGTGGGGAGATGGAGTGGTCTGAGAACCCTTCAGAGAACTCTGGGTCTGAAGCCTCGTAGCTCAACGGGAGGAAGACGTCCATTTCGGGCGGCTCGGCATGCGAAGGGGCCGTAGGGTCGGTCAACTCCTTCGCCGCCTCTGGATGGTCCGCGATTTTCAAGAGGTCAAGACAACCATTGCCATTGGCCGAGCCAGACAAGCTGTGCTGGCGGGACTCGTAGGACTCCTTGACGTACAGCTTGGTGAGGGTGTCTTGCCATCCGGCCAGTTTGGCCAAGTGCTTGACCATGTCGTGTTGGGCATAAATCAGGTGGAAGAGCTTGAAAACAAACATATTAAAATGTAGTTTTATGAAAGATTCATAGGACAGAGAATAAAACACAAAACACGAGAACAGCCATTCCTCCACCTTTGTGGATGTGACCTTAGGGGTCCCAACCCTAAGGTTGGGAAACACTGATCTACAGAGACTGAAGTGTGGTAGCTATGACCATCCTCCAATTGATGTTGACCACAGATTCACATTGAAATACCTAGAGATTGCAAGGGAAGCGTCATCTAAGGTACAAAAAAGCATTCTTTGATTTGCAGTTTTTCACTTTCGCAGTGGTCCCTAACCTGGTTGAAGCACCTGGTTGCCAAGGTAAGCCTTTTGTTGCGCTTACCTTCCTGCAGATGTCTAGCCGGACGGCCAGCTCGGCCCGGTGAGACAGGTAAACAACAGCCATCAAGTCCTTGTAGTTTGGGGAATCTGGAGATAAAAAACAGCCTCAGTCACACCAACAACAAGCAATTTTGTTGTAACCTGGTCAGATTCTTGAATGCTCAGGAGATGAGGAGGGGGTGTGCTGGGATAGATTCAGAGGGCCCAGAGGAGTATAGAAGTGGCCTGGAAAGAGTTGTTTTGGAATCTTCTGGCAGTTCCCATGAGACTGGAGAAAGCAATATCAGTTCTCATGAGAACCTGCCAGAAATGCAGTCTGGGAGACAAATGCTATTCTAGGTCAAAGTGCTTGAAACTTCAGAGACAGACTTACTTTTTCCTTAGGCTTAGAGATAAGGAGAGGAAAAGCAGGTGTGTGAGAAATGATGTCATGGGAGGGATTGAGGCCTTTAAAAGTGGTTCCTGCTGGCAAAATCCTTTGTGAGAGCAACGTTGTCTTCAGGTGAACAGCTCTTGGTTTTTGGGTCCTAGGTTCTTGGAATTAATGTGTGGCATAGGTTGCCTGCCTTGGATTCATGCTATCTTGTTTATGGATATTTTTTTGGATTGACTCTGGAGACTATATTTGAAAGGATTTTGGGCTCCTGGCTACCTTTGAAATAACCTTTTCAATTTTGATTCTCTTTTTTGAATTTGCTTATTTTTATATATACTCTTTAAATAAATTTCCTACTTACTGGATTACCTGGACAGAGTGTGCTTTGTGGTGTTTCAGGGCTCTAGTGCAACAAGTTTTGCATCTTTCATAGGCACGGGCAAAGTTTGGCCCTCCAGGTACTTTGGACTTAGGAATTGTGAGAGCTGGAGTCCAAAACACCTGGAGGGCCCAAGTTGGCCCATGCCAGATCTTACAAATTCAATTTTTAACTCACCTGATGCAAGGACCTGCTCAAGGAGACACCGGAAGAGGAGCATAGAGACGGGAATGTCATTCAGGGAGGAGAGCAGGCCTTGGTAGCCAATGTCCTTCAGCCTTAGACGGTATTTGCTCCGTTCGTTGGCCTTCTCGTACTTCAGAAGCTTGTATAGGATCTGGTGGAGCAAAGACAACAAGGATGTTTGGACAAGCCTCTGAGAATGTCTAGTCCCAATAGTATGCAATTAATGCCACAGCAGAGTATGAAAATAAAATTATTATTATGATTTGAAACACAAGATGAGGCTTAGCCGATTTCCCTTGTTTGTATGGCTTGGCTTTTTTTGCCGGCTCCGGCTGGGAGTCGCCGCTCGCCTCCTGAATATTCTGGGGTGATTGAGAGGGGGCTGGATTTTCCATAGGCTCCATTAGCGGAGCGGAGAGCGGCTCAGGGGCTGGGCGCTTCCCCGCTCGGGTGGCTGGAGTCAAAGCTCGCTCATAGAGCAGAGCCTTCAGCCTGGACTCCCTGTCCTTGCGCTCTCTCGGGGTGAAATCGAGGCAAACTTAGCAGAATTGGGGACGGTGAGACTCCCCCAGACGGAGCAAACACATGGAATGCCCGTCGGTATCAGGCACGTTCCCGCCACAGGAGGGGTATTTCTTAAAAAAAGAGAGGTAGTGCTCATATTGAGAGCGTACTGGCCTGAGAATAGTCGTGAGTCCGTAATCTGGTCGTGGGACGGAGAAGGCAGCTTGGTCGGTAAGTGGTCCGGGTCAAAACGTGGTCTCAAAGACTAGAGAAGTTCCCACGGCTGCTGATGCGGCGGAAAAAGGAACTGAGCCGAGGCTCCCGCCTTGGGCATTTATAGCATTGGGGAGAGTGGGCGGGGCGTCCACCAAAATGTTTCTAATACAAGATTCTAGAAGGTTCCGCACAGCTGCGCATGCGCAGAAAGTAAATTGTGTTTCACAGACTCCACGAAGAGGAAGACAAGATCACTCTGCTGGCTTTTGTATTGGATCAGATATTGGACACTTCCCAAGTGCCTAGGACTGTGGGATGTATTGGCTGTTAGGAATTGTGGGAGTTGAAGTCCAAAATACCTGGAGGGCTGAAGTTTGCCCATGCCTGAGCGTGGGCAAACTTATATTCTATTTCAGGCTAAACCAAACCAGCTTTCTCAGTTGCTCCACATAGAGATTCATGGCTTCCAAGTCTTTGGAACAGGTATCTGCTCAGAAGAGGGTGATGGTATTTTATTTATTTATTTATTTACTTTGCTTATATACCGCTGTTCTCAGCCCGGGGGCGACTCACAGCGGTGTACAACATAGAAAGAACAAGGTACAAAATTCAAAACACAATCTAAAATATCCAAGTCCAGCATTAACAAAAAACATCATCATCAAAAACATCATCATTACTACAAAAGCCATTCCGTGTCGTCTCATCGTCCAAACCACAATCCAGTATCATTTTCCGTTGTTCATTCCTTTCGTCATTACCAATTATTGCAATTATTTTGCCTCCAGGACAATCGGAATGGATGACCCCATGTACCGTGACCCTTCCTCCATGTCTAGCAGGGACGAGTCATAATCCCAAAGGCAAACTACGACGAACCTCACCTTGAAAATCCTCTCCCGCACTTCGTCGGAGAATTTCCGCTGGACGAGCAGCGAGAACAGGATCTCCACGTTTCCTGGCTCAAAGAGGAAAGCGTAGATCTGTTCCTGGGATGGGGAGTTCTTCTGCAGGCTGTGGATGACCTCCAGCATCCCACACACCTGCAAGACACACCAGGAAAGCCACACTCTATAACACCACTTTTATTCCAAATGCTATTTCCTAATTGGTTCTACCACAAAAAACATGGGGAAGGTTTATTAAACTGCCAAAACTTTGTTTTCGCCCTGCAATAGCACATTTTGCTCTAGTTTTTCAATTGATATCTCATCACTGAGTCTCAACCAATTCAACCTAAGTTCCAGAAGCATTCTCCCCTGACATTTCACCTGCATCTATAGCAGGCACCCTCAGAGATTGTGAGATCTGTTGGAAACTAGGAAAATGGGGTTTATATATCTGTAGAATATCCAGGGTGAGAGAAAGAACTCTTGTCTGTTGGAGGTAGGTGTGAATGTTGCAATTGGCCACCTTAATTAGCATTTAATGGCCTAGCAGTTTCAAGGTATAGTGAAGTGTAAATTTTAATCTACTGTTATGTATAGTTTGAAAGGGTACGTATTTAAATTTGCATAACTGAGGGGGGATGGTAGCCAGCTCAGCTCACTTTGAGCTGGGTTGCTATGGAAATAGGGGCAGAGCCAACTGCCACTTGGCAGGGCAGCCATTTTAAAACCGTCTGTAGTCAGCGAACTACAGGAGTGGCTGGTTCTGTAGTAGTGAGAACCAGGAAGGTAATCTGTAGTTTTAAAACTACAGGGTAAGGCTATTTCTACTGTAGTGAGAATCAGGAAGATAAGTTGACTTATGTGTATGAGTAGTTAGTGTACGAGTAGAAAGGGGTGAGAGAAAGCCAGTGAGAATTTTTATTGCAACAGAAATATCACAAAGAAAGAATAAGCTTGTATCTAAAGTAATCTATTAAGGAAAGAAGCATAGTTTGAAGAAAAATAAGTTTGAAACCTGTTTTGTAGAAGTAAGAGTCCTTTCCAGAGTTGTTTTAAAGAATGTTATAAATGTATCCTCTGAAGATATGTGCCTCTAAGAGTCAAGAAATATTGAAACCATCAAGTTTCTGCTACATTTCAATAAACCTTTTACCGTTTCTTTTAAAGCCCGGTCTCTGTTACAAATCCTTTCCAAGTTAAGTCACGCTACATATTGAAGAAAGACCAATTCAATATTACTATTAGCTACGTTATTTAATTTAATATTTAATAAACTCTTACAAAGTGGCGGCATCTTTACAAAACTGTTACAAACTGGTGGCTTCTTCACAAACTGGTGGCATCTTCGTTACAAACTGGTGAAATCTTTACACAAGGTCTGGCTTCTTACTGCCTGAGAAATTCCTATGTTGAGAGGTGATTAGGTGTTCCTGATTGTTTCTTGTCTGGAGTTCTCCTGTATTTGAGTTTTGTTTTTTTATTTATTGTTATGATTTTAGAGTTTTTATGCTATTTGTATTTTAATTTTGTTGTTGTTGTCATATGATGCTTTAGATTGCATTATTGCATTGAAACCTTGCTGTGAGCCGGTCTGAGTCCCTCTACGGAGGTGGAGAAGATCGGGACAGAAAAGTTTTAAATAAATAAATAAATAAATAAATACAATTTTAAAATACTGATACCAGATTTTTAAAATCTTTTTCATGGTTTCTTCCTATCTGTTGAAATTGTCTGTGGATTTTAATGGCAAATTGCAAAATCCAATTCTCACAGGGATAGAAAGGGGAGATTCAACCTAGTTTGTGGCACAAAAACAGACGATTAAACAGGAAATAACACTCTCACACCAGGAACAGAACGTGTTCTCAAAGGTTTTCATGGCTGGAATCACTGGGCTGCTGTGTGTTTTTCAGGCTGTATGGCCATATCCCAGTAGCATTCTTTCCTGACATTTTGCCTGCATCTGTGGCAAGCATCCTCAGAGGTTCTGTTGCTAGTGTTGCTTATATTTCACCTAAAATGCTCAGGTTCTGACTTATCCACCTTTTTATATTTTTTACAACTTTCTTCCATACCTTCTTATAATTTCTCTCTGCAATTTGATCTTTGTTTTGTTACTCATAGAATCCTACAGTTGGAAGAGACCTCCTGGGCCATCCAGTCCAACCCCATTCTGGCAAGAAGCAGGAAAATTGCATTCAGAGCACCCCGACAGATGGCCATCCAGCCTCTACATAAAAACCTCCAAAGAAGGAGCCTCCACCACACTATGCGGCAGAGAGTTCCACTGCTGAACAGCTCTCACAGTCAGGAAGTTCTTCCTCATGTTCAGGTGGAATCTCCTCTCTTGTAGTTTGAAGCCATTGTTCTGCATCCTAGTCTCCAGGGCAGCAGAAAACAAGCTTGCTTCCTCCTCCCTATGACTTCCCCTTACATATTTATACATGGCTATCATGTCTCCTCTCAGCCTTCCCTTCTTCAAGCTAAACATGCCGAGCTCTTTAAACCGCTCCTCATAGGGCTTGTTCTCCAGACCCTTGAGGTGCTCCTAGGTGCTTCCTCTTCCTACTCCTAGCTGCTGCCTCTTCCTCGTCGCCTGCCATACCTGATGCTCCTCATTCACGGCGGCCAAGTAGTTGAAGGTGCTCTGCATCTCCTCGGCGGAGAAGTTCCTGCAGAGGAAGTCCTTCACCAGGCTGAAGAGGGACGTCTGCACCGTCCGGATGTCGTCGGTGGCCACAGGTTTCTCTTTACACATCCTAAGAGAGAGACAGAAAAGAAGATTGTGGAGTTGAAAAACCTAGCTGGGCAAAGCCATTGCTCTGCTATTGTCTGAATTCATGCAAACAAAGAAGGGAATATTTGAAGTCTTGGCTCTGCCTTCTCTGTTTTGCTTCAGTTCTCTCTGTTTATAGGCCTTCCCATTAGTGTTGATAGCATTCTTTGTATAAGTTTTTGGGTGGAGTTTAAAAACATCCCTCAGAGGCCAGTCTTAGTTGATCTATTCCCTTTCCCTGCACAGAGCTCTTTGCTGGACTCATCCTTCTTTCTACAGTAGAGCTACAGTCTTTTAGAGGCTTGGATATTGTCTGGAATCCTAGGCCTAGCAATCCAAAACAGGCATTCTTAGCACCTTCTGCTGCAATCCAAAGAACAACAGTCCAAAGGACAACAGAAGCTTTTGGTCAGCCTAAGCTTCACAGGAGAGAAGATTAAGACAGTTTGTAAGCAAGAATTTATAATCCATTACTTCGCATCAGAGGCAGAAAATTCCAGGAAGATGACTGCAACCAGCAAATTCTCCTTTGGTAATGTATTGTTTTACGTTACCTTATGATAACACCGGGTGGAGTTAACCCTTTATTCATCTTGATTCAGTAAACTCATTTGGTTATCTTTTTACCTTGCCTCAAAGTGCCTCTGTCTGTTAAGGGTCTTAATCTTAACAGAAGGTATCAGATAGCCCCTCCGAGTACAGCCAGACAATATACCGTATATACTCGAGTATAAGCCGACCCAAATATAAGCCGAGGCACCTAATTTTACCACAAATAACTGGGAAAACATATTGACTCAAGTATAAGTCGTGGGTGGGAAATGCAGCACCTACTTGTAAAATTCAAAATAAAAATAGATACCAATAAAATTACATTAATTGAGGCATCAGTGGGTTAAATGTTTTTGAATATTTACATAAAACTGTAATTTCAGATAAGACTGCCCAACTCTGATTAAACCATTATTCCAAACTTCTTCAATGTAAATGTGCTTACGTATCCTTCCAATAATAATAGAGTAAAATAATAAATGTAATAATAACAACAACAATAATAATAGAGTAAAATAATGGAAATGTAATAACAGTAATAATAGAATAATAAATGTAATAATAACAATAATAAATAGAGTAAAATAATGGAAATGTAATAATAACAGTAACAATAGAATAATAAATGTAATAATACTAATAATAATAATTGAGTAAAATAATAAATGTAATAAAAATAATAACAGAGTAAAATAATAAATAACCTTGACTTGAATATAAGCCGAGGGGGACTTTTTCAGCCTTAAAAAAGGGCTGAAAAACTAGGCTTATACTCGAGTATATACAGTAGTTTTCCCAAAGGCTCGTGCATGCCATCACAGAGGAGAATGTGCTATAGCAGGATGTCCTTCCCACAAAAACAAAGTTTTTGAAGTTTAGTAAACTTTCCCCATGTTTTTTATGATCGAACCAAATAGGAAATGACATTTATCACCCAGGATCAGAAATCATGTTATGCATAGTGTGATGTGGGTTTGCATGAAGCCCTGCTAGAACCCTAATTATTTTGTGGGCACAATAATATTTATGACACTTTCTATGTTTTTGCTCCCTCCGCGAAGTACTCTTACCCATAATAGGTCCGGATGGAGTCTAGGATATACTGGACCCCGTATTTCCTGCGGATCCTTTGTTTGTGGTCCTTAATTATGTTGGACAGGTACTGGATGTGGCCTGGGAAAGACGAGAGGCAAGGTGAGCAAGGAACGCCTGATGAATTGGAGCAAGTAACAGCCTAATCTCTGATGGAAGATGATAACAATCCAAAGCCTTCTGCAGAATGGTATTCAAAACATTATCTGGGATGGGGCAGCCTACATATTATATTATTAAAAACTCCAGAGAACAAGCAATCAAGGGCCAGTTAACACCTCCCAAACAAGGGATGCTTCCAGGCAACAACGGCCAGGCCACCTCTATGCAGATACCCTCACTGATTGAGTTTGCAAACTTCATGGCTATTCAATGCTAATTCCAAGCTTACTAACTGCAACATGCGCACTTGCTTTAACAGACAAGGGTTCTTTCTCCCACCCTGGACATTATTCTACAGGTATATATACACTGCAGTTGCTTCACCTCTGAAGATGGCTATAGCTTCAGATGCAGGCGAAACATTAGGAGAGAATGCTGCTGGAACATGGCAAGACAGCCCCCCCAAAAACTCACAGAAAGCTAATTTAAAAACAATTCTGTGTGATTTTCCAACAGCAAGCTTCATATAATGTAAATGGAGTAAACGTACCCCACAACAGAAAATAAACAGACTCAAGTGAACAAACACCATCTGAGGAAGTTTTCAATTCCATCACCCCATGCCCACCAATGTCAGCATGAGAGTGATGGGAGATGCATTCCTCCACATCAGAAGGATTCTAGACCACAAAAGACTGAACTTCCGTGGCATTTCCCTCCACTACAAAGGGAACCTGATCCGTACCCAGTCGGACGGCGAAGTCGCAGTTGCTCCAGATGCGGAAGTCGAAGAGCAGGTATTGGTACAGGAGGTGCTGCAGAAGGCTGTTTCCTTCCAAGGCCACTTGCTCCATCAGGACCTGAGAGGCCATCAAGACATTCATGTCCATGGCTTGGCTGGAGACCTATGATACAACAAGGGAGCAAAACAGTCATTTTTTTGGTGCAATCCTAGAGTGGGAAGGGATAGGTCTATCCAAACACATCTGCAAACCTATGGAGACCTTGGCTTTTCTGAGTACATTGGTCCTTCTTAGCCTACACCCAAAAGCATTGTGAGTATCTTCATCACTGTGAGGTGGATGCTCATCTCATAGAATCCTAGATTTTGAAGAGACCCCCTAAGGCCATCCAGTCTAACCTGCTTCTGCCAGGCAGGAAAACACAATTCAAACCCTCCTGATAGATGGTCATCCATCCTCTGCTTAAAAACCTCCAGAAAAGGAAGGAGACTCAATTGGACTCAATGTTGCACTCCAGACTAGGAAAGCCCTCTGACTTTAAACACCACACAGCTGGGTAGAAATGCAATCCGTTTATTGAAGATATTTAAAAAGCAGTAGTAGTAAGAAACAATGTAAAAGATTAGGTAAATCCAATTAGGTAGAAAGATAAGCCAGAACAAATATTCCAAGAAATTAGTCCATCAAAATTCATGAAAAACAAAGACAAAAACTTCTTTAGTAAAACGCAAGAACTGGAAAGATGAATCAAAGGCACTTAATACATGAATCTATCCAAAGCAAGGCTTCCAAGGAACAGGAAAGATGTCTTGACATGATTCCAAACGATGCTTCATCTGACTACAGATCCTCTACTTGGGACTTTTATCTCCTAATTACGCTTTGTCCCAAGCGACCAGAAATGGGTTTTGTTTTAGCCTTGAATCCCTTATCATTCTTTCTTTGAGCCTGGCAGAACGCCTAAGCGACTGATTAGCTTTTCTGCTTTGACTAGTAACATCCTGTCTATCTACTGCCTCATTAATTTCTGCTGCTGTCGAGCTATTCTCAGGCTCCAAATCATGGGAATTCTCTGGTAGCAATTCAGGGAGCACACCATCATCCCCAAACCCTCCAGGAACATTCTCATCAGCCGCATATTCCACTGAGTCAGTAGCTCTAACCTCCAGAATTCTTTCTAATGTTTAGGTGAATTATCTTCTTTTGGAATTTGAATAACAACAACAACAACAACACAACAACAACAACAATTTATTTTAACCTAGAAGGAAGAAAGGAGAGAAGGAAGGAAGGAAAGAAGGAGAGAAAAAGTGAGGGAAGGAAGGAAGGAAAGAGAGAAGGAAGGATGGACAAAAGAGTAAAGGAAGGAAGGAAGGAAAGGAAGGAAGGAGGGAGAGAAGAAGAAAGGAGAGAAGGAGAAGGGAAAGAGGAAGGGAAAGAAAAAGGAGGGAAGGAAGGAAAGAGTGAGGGAGGAGGAAGGAAGAAGGAGAGAAAGGAAGGAAGGAAAGGAAGAGAGAAGGAAGGATGGAACCAAAGAGCAAAAGGAAGGAAAGAGGTAGAAAGGAAGAAAGGAGAGAAAGGAGAGGAAAGAAAAGGAGAAGGAAGGAAAAAGAGAGAAGGAAGGAGGAAAAGGAGGGAGGAAGGAAGGAAGAAGGGAAGGAAGGAAGGAAGGAAGGAAGGAAGGAAGGAAGGAAGGAGGGAGAGAAGGAAGAAAGGAAGAAAGGAGAAGGGAAAGAGGAAGGGAAAGAAAAGGAGGGAAGGAAGGAAAGAGTGAGGGAGGGAAGGAAGGAAAGAAGGAGAGAAAAAGTGAGGGAAGGAAGGAAAGAGAGAAGGAAGGATGGAACCAAAGAGCAAAATAATGAAGGAAGGAAAGAGGTAGAAAAGGAAGAAAGGAGAGAAAGGAGAAGGGAAAGAAACAGGGGAAGGAAGGAAAGAGTGAGGGAAGGAAGGAGAGAAAGAGTGAGTGAGAGAAAGGGGAGAAAGAAAGAAAGAAAAAAGCATGGAAGCAAGGAGCGAAGGAAGGAAGGAAAGAGTGAAGGAAGGAAGGAAGGAAGGAAGGAAGGAAGGAAGGAAGGAGGAGAGAAGGAAGAAAGGAGAGAAAAGGAGAGGAAAGGAAGGGAAAGAGAGAGGGAAGCAAGGAAGGAGAGAAGGAAAGAAGGAGAGAAAGAGGAAGGGAAGGAAGGAAAGAGAGAAGGAAGGATGGAACCAAAGAGCAAAGGAAGGAAGGAAGGAAGGAAGGAAGGAAGGAAGGAAGGAGAAAGGAGGGAAGGAAGGAAAGAGTGAGGGAGGGAAGGAAGGAAAGAAGGAGAGAAAAAGTGAGGGAAGGAAGGAAGGAAAGAGAGAAGGAAGGATGGAACCAAAGAGCAAAGGAAGGAAGGAAGGAAAGAGGTAGAAAAGGAAGAAGGGAGAGAAAGGAGAAGGGAAAGGAGAGGGGGAAGGAAGGAAAGAGAGAGGGAGGGAAGGAGAGAAAGAAAGAAAAGGAGAGAGAGAGAGAGAGAGAGAGAGAGAGAGAGAAGGTTGGCCACAGCAATGCGTGGTGGGTACAGCTAGTCTATATAAATAAAAATGTAATGTTTGTTTGTGGGATTAACATAACTCACAAACCACTGGGCGAAATGAAACAAAATTTGGCCAGAAGACACCTAACGGACCAACGAGTGACCATCACTCATAAAAGTACTGAAAAACACACTGGAAGGGACGAGCTACATGGAGGCGCCTACCTTCTGCAGCAGGGCTCCAATGATGGCCGGTCCGTGGCACTGAACCAGGCTCTCCTGGTTGATTGCATGGCCACGGATGAAGTTCTTCACCAACAGCAGGAAGGCAGCTACGCCGTTCCTCTCCAGCCTGCTCTCTGTGGGTGAGAGATAGATAGGTAGTAGGTAGGTAGACAGACAGATAGGACAACCACGGATTCATGAGAAATGGACTTGCTACCAGTGGAGCACAGTGGAAGTGACAGCAAAAGGGGAGAGAAAATGTGCTCCAATCTTTGCATCTAAACTTTAAAGGAGGTATCCAAGATGCTGACAGTTCCTTTACGATCTGGTCTAAAACTCACATTGGTTTCATTGTCCCATTGACATCAAGGATGCCAGTCTCTCTATTGAGTCCCTTTAGAAGTCAGGAAAGAACAAGAAGCAGGAAGTAGGGTTGGGAGGATGTAAATAAACGTGGTTGAAAGGGACTTCTTTGTCAGAGGCATTGTTAGCTGAGATATACTTGCAGAGTAGGACACTTTTTTGGGTTGCTGTGAGTTTTCTGGGCTGCCTGGCCATGTTCCAGAAGCATTCTCTCCTGATGTTTCACTCACATCTCTGGCAGGCTTTCTCAGAGGTTGTGAGGTCTGTTGGAAACTAGGCAAGTGGGGTTTATATATCTGTAGAATAATGTCCAGGGTGGGAGAAAGAATTCTTGTCTGCTTCAGAGAAGTGCAAATGTTGTAATAGACAACGACATTCACACTTGCCTCAGGAGCAAGTTGCCTTCTGGAACATTTATGTATTTGTCTGTTTGTTTGTTTATTTACTGTATTTGTATACCGCCTTTCTCAGCCCATAGGCGACTCAAGACCGTTAACAGGATAAAATTCAATGCTTTCAATGTCATAAATACAATTAAAAACATAATAAAATTAAACATATCAATAAAATATAAATTTATAGTGTCTCCTTGTTAAAAACGTGGTCAGGACTCATTGTTTAGTCATTCCATTTTCCTATATTGGTTACTCTGCATTTGCAAACGCTTGTTCAAAAAGCCACGTCTTGACTTTTTTCCAGAATGTTAAAAGGGAGGGTGGGGGTGATCTAATATGTATAGGGAGGGTGTTCCACAGCCGAGGGGGCCACCGCCGAGAAGGCCCTGCCTCTTGTCTCCACCAAACGTACTTGTGACAAAGGCGGTAATGAGAGCAGGGCCTCCCCAGGCAATCTTAAGGTCCTAGAGGGTTCATAAGCGGAGATGTGTTCAGACAAGTAAGTCGGGCCAGAACCGTTTAGGGCTTTATAGGGTAAAGCCAGCACTTCGAATTGTGCCCGGTAGCAGACTGGCAGCCAGTGGAGCTGGCGCAACAGAGCACAGCTCTTGTTAGCAATCTGGCTGCAATTCATTGCATCATTTGAAGCTTCCGGACAGTCTTCAAAGGCAACCCTACGTAGAGCACATTGCAGTAGTCTATACGGGATGTAACCAGAGCATGGACTACCATGGCCAAGTCCGACTTCCCAACGTATGGGTGCAACTGGCGCACAAATTTTAACTGTGCAAATGCTCCCCTGGTCATCGCCGAAACCTGGGGTTCCAGGCTCCGAGATGGATCCAGGATCACACCCAAGCTGCGAACCTGCGCCTTGAGGGGGAGTGTAACTCCGTCCAACACAGGCTGTAACCCTATACCCTGTTCGGCCTTGCGACTGACCAGGAGGACCTCTGTGTTGTCTGGATTCAGTTTCAATTTGTTTGCCCTCATCCAGATCGTCACCGTGGCCAAGCATCAGTTCAGGATCTGAACAGCCTCCTTAGTAGTAGGTGGGAAGGAGTGATAGAGTTGGACATCATCTGCGTACAGGTGACATAGGACCCCAAAACTCCGGATGATCTCCTCCAGTGGTTTCAAGTAGGTGTTAAATAACATGGGAGACAATATTGAACCCCGAGGAACCCGATAACACAATGGCTGTGGGGTTGAACAGGATTCCCCAGTAACACCTTCTGGGTGCGACCTTCCAGAAAGGACAGGAGCCACTGTAGAACAGTGCTTCCCAGGCCCATTCCGGCAAGGTGTCCCAGAAGGATATCGTGGTCAATGGTATCGAAGGCCGTTGAGAGGTCCAGAAGAACCAACAGTGACACACTCCCCTTGTTTAGTTCCTGGCGTAGATCATCCACTAAGGTGACCAAGGCTGTCTCGGTTCCATGTCCCGGTCTAAAGCCAGACTGTGCCAGATCCAAGAATACCTGAAGTTGTGAGGCCACCATGCAGCCTGGAAAACTCACAATAACCCAGTGATTCTGGCCACAAAAGCCTTTGATAAGACACATACTTTTTTTTTAACCTGAGAGAACTCTGCTCTAGGTATCCCTGTGGCCAATGTCTACTTCTCTAGGAATCTCTGTGGTCAACACCCAACAGAAGTTGGTATATGGAGGACCTACAGAACATCTACAGAATCATAGAATCATCGAATCAAAGAGTTGGAAGAGACCTCATGGGCCATCCAGTCCAAGAAGCAGGAATATTGCATTTAAATCACCCCTGACAGATGGCCATCCAGCCTCTGCTTAAAAGCTTCCAAAGAAGGAGCCTCCACCACACTCCATCCGGGGCAGAGAGTTCCACTGCTGAACGGCTCTCACAGTCAGGAAGTTCTTCCTCATGTTCAGATGGAAGTGTTCTCTCTAGCAATATCCGGTGGAAGCTGACCACTAGAGAGACCATATTAATCAAATCTGGAAATGGGAAGAGCGGAGTGTATATAATCTAATTTATTTATTGCTTATATCCCACCCACCCCCACCCCCGCTAGTGATAGTCAGGTTCCACTCTTGCATTATGAAGCCTTGCGCCATGCACACCTGAAGACTTCCCCAGCGGGATGAGCATGCCCTGGGCGCTGTTGTGGGAAGAGGTCAGCTCCGGCCCCACCAGGTTGTGCGTCTCTTGGGGGTCTTCGGCCTCCTTCTTCTGGGAGGCCACCTGGTCCAGAAGTGGGAGAAGGACTCCCATCCCACCCACGCAGTTCACCACGTCCTGCAAGAAAGAAAGTTTTGGTCAATCGTTACCGAGAGCGGCATCTTACACACTGCAGCAAAAAGGAATTCCTCCTATATCTTGCCTTTCTCACGTTGACAAGTCTGTGAGTCCCAGATCTGTTCAGCTATTGCTTTTGTGAGTTTCATGGGCTAGACCACATGCGTCAAACTCAAGGCCTGAGAGCCAAATCCATGTGACCCTCCAGATGCTGGACTACAACTCTTGCCTTCCTCACCATTAGACACCATGACTAGTGGTGGGGATGACCACCATGATTAGTGGGAGGAGGGGGAAGGAAGCCGGATTACGGAGGTCACAGATAATTCGTAAAAAACAACAGAGTGATAAATCCTTGAAACAACAAAGCAGATGCCAAAGGCATGACTTCATGTCTTTGTGGTCTAAGTTAAAGGTATTGTTTACTCAAGAAGTCAGAGCAGGCAACACTGTGTTCCGGTGTACACCTTGGTCCTGTTCCACATTCAAGTCTATGTTGTAGCTCTTTGAGGAAGTTTTGTGCCCATGTTTATGGATTCATGGTTTGAAAGAAGACCCTGTGTCCCTTGTTTTGGTTTTGTGCTTATGCTTTGATTCCTGATTTTTCCATGTACCTTGTCACTTTGGAACGGAACTCTTATGTATAGACAATTGCCTTTTAATAGCCTTTCCTTCTATTGCTTTTTTGAACATAGCTTTTGATACTGCTTTTTGCCTTTTTTATATTTGCTTTTTCAATAAACTGTTTAGTTAGTAATCATGGATTCTTGTGTGGTGCAGAGGAGATTCCAGGCCAGAGTGCAACACAACAGCCATACCTTGACGTCCCAGTTCACCACTTTATGCCCAGTCAGCCTCCCATCATAGAAATGGTTCGGAGAAAGATCCAGGCAGATGTTGCTTTTGCAGGCCTAGGAAACCACACAAGAGAAGGAGAAATTAAGACTGGAAGGACCTTTGGCTACCAACTCTGAAGTCTTGCCATCAACCACCCAAAGCACTCTATACATAATGGGGTGCGGTGGAAATACGGAATAATTGACATCCTCAGGAATGAATGTTAAAGGACTATCTGGGACTGTCCCTAAAAATCCAGAACATCTGGCAGTCCTGCTTGGGTGCATCTACATTGGAGAGTTAACGCAGTTCAACATTACTTTCACTATGATGGCTCAATGTTAAGGAATCCTGGGAGTTGTAGTTTGCACACAAGAGAATGAGAGAGAAAGAGTGACACTGAAATAAACGTTGAATACCAGCTCTGAAGTCTCACCACAAACAAGCCAATGCACAGCATGGTCTGGGACCTTGTTGTGTCTACACCAGTATTGAGCAAACTTTGGCCCTCCCTCCAGGTATTTTGGACGTCAACTCCCACAATTCCTAACAGCTGGTAGGCTGGGTAGTTGTAGGTTTTTTCGGGCTATATGGCCATGTTGTAGAGGCATTTTCTCCTGACGGTTCGCCTGTATCTATGGCAAGCATCCTCCTCACTACCTCTGAGGATGCTTGCCATAGATGCAGGTGAAACGTCAGGAGAAAATGCCTCTACAACATGGCCATATAGCCCGAAAAAACCTACAACAACCCAGTGATTCCGGCCATGAAAGCCTTCAACAATAGCGGGTAGGTTGTTAAGAACTGTGGGAGTTGAAGTCCAAAACACCTGGAGGGAGGGCCAAAGTTGGCCTATGTCTCATCTACACTGTTAGGATGAAAATAGTAATAGTATTAGTAGTACTAGGAGAAATAATAATAATAATAATAATAATAATAATAATAATAATAATAATAATAGAACTGCAAAGATTGTGGCACAAGTTGGACAAGGTGGTCCCAGTGGTGATTGGCACATTGGGTACAGTGCCTAAAGACCTTGGCCTGCACTTAAAAATAATCGGGGCTGTCAGCTGCAAAAGGCCACCCGACTCAGATCTACACACATTATTTGTCAATTCATCACACAGTCCTAGACACTTGGGAAGGGTCCGAAAAGCCAACATAGTGATCTTGTTTGCTGTGAACTCATCTTGTTATGTATCATATAATAATAATAATAATAATAATAATAATAATAATAATAATAATAATAATAATGCAGTTTGAGACCACTTGAACTGCCACTGCACAGTGCTATGGAATCCTGGGAGTTGTAGTTTGACCACATTATTGGCCTTCTCTGCCCCAGAGTGCTGGTGACCCACCAAACTACAGATCCCAGGGTTCCACAACATTGAGCCATGGCTGTTTAAGTGGTTTCGAACCACATTCATTCCACAGTGCAGATGAGCCCACTGTCTCATTTACAGCACATATCGTGTTTGTAGTACCTGTGGCGTGTAATACAGAAGCAGTTTGCTACTGAGTTCTGGAAACTCCCCTTCTGGCTGAAAAGGCGACGTCACATTTGGTCCTGCGGAAAGAAAGAAAGAAAACAAGAAAGAAAGAAAGAAAGAAAGAAAGAAAGAAAGAAAGAAAGAAAGAAAGGGAGGGAGGGAGGGAGGGAGGAAAAAAAAAAGAAAGAAAAGGGTCGCAAGCACAGTGATTAAAATACAAGAGCTGGTATTATTGTGCTCAGTTTACACAAGAAAGAGTATAGTGAGATTCCATTGGCTCTATGTTGCTTAAAATGGAATTGACATTGGTGCTTTCCCTGTCTATGAAAAGACATCTCAGTGTGTGTGTTTCTGTGCTCGCAAAACTTCAAAAGTAATCGATCTATAGACTTGACATTTCAACATAACGTTGCATTCCCATACATGCGTGTTATCTCATCTCAGCAGTATAAGAAATGAAAGCTAAGCTCTAGCAAACAATCGCTGCGCAGCTTTCCTTTTACCTCAGCAGTAAAAGAAATAACCTATCCCTGAGCAGCTTTACTTTTACCTCAGCAGTATAAGAAATACCACCCAATAACAAACCAGCTGTCATCTCGTCTCAGCAGTACAAGAAATGAAAGCTGAGCTCTAGCAACCAATCGCTGCACAGCTTTCCTTTTACCTCAGCAGTAAACGAAATAACAACCTATCACCGAGTAGCTTTCCTTTTACCTCAGCAGTATAAGAAATACCACCTAATCACAAAGCAGCTGTCATCTTATCTTATCAGAATAAAAATGAAAACTGAGCTCTAGCAACAAATCACTGTGCAGCTTTCTTTTTACCTCAGCAGTAAAAGAAATAACAACCTATAACTGAGAAGTTTTCCTTTTACCTCAGCAGTATAAGGAATACCACCGAATCACAAGCAGCTGTCATCTGATCTCAGCAGTAGAAATGAAAACTGAGCTCTAGCAACCAATCGCTACACAACCTTCCTTTTACCTCAGCAGTAAAAGAAATAACAACCTACAACCTAGCAGTTTTCCCTTTACCTCAGCAGTATAAGAAATACCATCCAATCACAAAGCAGCTGTCATCTCATCTCAGCAGTAGAAGAAATGAATGCTGAACTGTGTTTGGTTGCTATTGGCATTCCACTCATTCCAATCGCCATGGCATTTCAGTACTAAAGACTTCCGATTTCCAATACGTCTTGTGTTTTCTGTTTTGTGTTTGTGTTTTGGTTCCTCTTCCCCGTAAGACCCTGGACACGTACCTGAGGTGTACAGGGCCTTGACTTGTGCTGGCGGAAGCAACTCGCAGAAGATGGAGACGGGCCCCAAGTGCCCCTCCAGGGAGGTAGGCACTCCCCACTCTGTGTCCTGGCTCCCGGCGGCCATCGTGGAGACCAGGCCCTCTTTTGGGGGCTGGGGAGGGAGGGGGGCCCAGGAGTGGGGTGCCAGGGAGGCTGGGAAGGACTGTGAGCGGCTCAGCGACGGGTGGGAGGGGAAGCCCAGCTCCGGCGAGTGGGACGGCGAGGGGAAGACCGTGGACGTGGTGGTGGTCCGGTGCCCGGCGGAACCGATGCAGCAAGACGTGAAGGACTAGGAGGGAAGACACACACAAAAGAGGGGTGGGTGCACACATAAAAGGGAATCTCAGCATACATATTTCTGTATTTACCTGCCTCTCCGCTGCTCTAGAGGATGGACCCAGCCTGCTATTAATATGCATTGTATTGTGTTAGATAGAAAGGCACTGTCTGTAACTCCAGTGTGTGAAAAATACAGTTCGAATGGACATGTGGTCCCAGCACATTGCACTGAAGAGTTAAGTAAGTGGAGATTGAATTTAGAGGGACAGATGAGTCATGACCACATGACAGGCATGATGCGAACTGTATCATGGTGTTGTTGTAAGTTTTCCAGGCTGTATGGCCATGTTCCCGCACCATTCTCCCCTGACATTTTACCTGCATCTGTGGCAAGCATTCTCGGAGGTCTGTTGGAAATGAGGCAAGTGGTGTATGTGTATGTGTGTGTATATACACAGCCACACCCACACACCTGTGGAATGTCAAGGGTGGGAGACATACCCCTTGTCTGTTTGAAGCAAGTGTAGATGTTGCAATTAGCCAGCTTGATTAGCACTGTGTAGCTTTGCAGCAGCAAAGTCTGGCTGTTGCTGTCTTGTGGCAATCTTTGTTTGGAGGGGTGTTAACTGGCCCTTGATTGTTTGCTGTCTGGAGTTCTCCTGTTTCTGAGTGGTGTTCTTTATTTACTGTCTTTATTCTGGTATTTTTTAAATACTGCTAGCCAGATTTTATTCATTTTCATGGTTTCCTCCTTTCTGTTGAAATTGTCCACGTGCTTGTGGATTTCAAGGGCTTCTCTTTGTAGCCTGACATGGTGGTTGTGAGAGTGCTCCAGCATGTCTGTGTTCTCAAATAATATTCTGCACCCAGGTTGGACACCAGGTCGAACACAACACCCAAACACGAATCAAAGAGCATGAAAGGCACTCCAGACTAAATCATCAAGCAGAGCACTTGATGAACCAACCTAGACACAGATTACTATTTTTGTAGATTAATCGATTTGGGGTTGGACTGGATGACCTTTGGGGATCCAACCCTTTGATTAACCCTTGAGGATCCCTTACCTCACCGAAGGAGGGGAACCGCATCTGCGCCATCTTCCGGAGCTGCCCATCCACGTAAATGTTCACAATGTTCTGGCCGAAGGGCCTACGGCCAGTGATGTGGACAATGTCGATGCAATGCTGAGAAAAAAGAATCAGAGGAGGAAGGGTCACTTCTGGACATCTCACTATGAAGTTGACCCAAATGGTGTTTACTTTGGTTAAATTTTCGCTATCAAATGCATGGTCACCGGGGAGAATCTTCCATACTAACAGTCCTTAAAATAAGCCCAATCTGGATGCCATAATTCATTATTGCATTTCTTTATGCCTTACGTTTCTCTCTCTTGACGCTAGGATGTTTGCAAAGAGCATGTTATTTAATATGTTTTTATAGAAATAAGTTTGTGTCAGGTTTTACAATGTATTGTAATGTAATATAGCTGAGTCATGCACTGCTAATAGGCTTCTATTGGAAATGCTGAGTCATGCATTAACTGTATATAGGGAATCATTTGGGGAATGTGTTCTGGCCTAGTCCAGGTAATTGTGAATGATGCAATCCTGGATCTGAGTTAAGTTAATGAGTTGGGAACCAATCAGAGATTGCTATGTGTAATTGTTTGGAATTGTATATAAGGAAGTCATGTAGAGTGTATGCTCTCTCTTTGTGCTGTGATGCTGTTCGTCGAAGGCTCTGTGTAATTTATTAAAAGAACCTGTGGGAGTTGAAGTCCAAAACACCTGGAGGGAGGGCTCAAGCTTGCCCATGCCTGCTGTAGAGTTAATGCAGCTCGAAACCACTTCCAATGCGAAGGGATGCTACTCACCCAGGCTGCGTCGTTGAAAGGAAACTCTGGAAGGGCGACCGTCATATACTCCTTTTTTGTGCAAACAGCCACCACCAGCATCCCGTCGGTGGTGAAGAAGGCCTCAAACCCGGTCCCGCCGGCCGTAAAGAAGCTGGTTTGGAAGGGGAATCAAAGGAGGAAAGAAAGATTGCATTGATTAAAAAGGTTAAAGGTGGGATTCGGTCATGTCTGTCTTCCTTTCTTCCTTTCTAATCCCCTCCCCTTAACTTGTAGTTACAAACAACTCCAAGTTAAGCACGGAGCTGAGACAACAGGAAATGAGAGAAAACTACCCCTTGGAAGGAAGAGAAATTCACTCCTGGAAGAGTTATTATCCTGGGGAAAAAAAAGGTGTCCCCACTGAAGCTTTATCTCCAATCCTCATTTCCACAACAAGCCAAATTTTCACCAGGCATGGGCAAACTTCACCCCTCCAGATGTTTTGGACTTCAACTCCCACGATTCCTAAGTTTGCCCATGCCTGTTCTACACTGTTGAATGAATGCAGTTTGGCCCCACTTTTCAATTGCCCTGGATCATTGCTAAGTATGCTAAATACAGAATGATACGTCAGTATTATGATTACTTCTTCTACTACAATATTATTATTTGATTGTTGTTGTGGGTGTTGGAATTCAACCACATCCTATAGATAGACAGGCAGACAGATGATAGATTAGATAGACAGATATAGATAGATAGTTGATATATTAGATAGATAGATAGATAGATAGATAGATAGATAGATAGATAGATAGATAGATAGAAAGATAGATGACCGGATAGATGATAGATTAGAGAGAGAGATAAATAGATAGATAGGTAGGTAGGGAGGTAGATAAATAGGATAAGTAATAGATCAATACACATACATACATACATATGCAGGTTGAATGAAAAGTAATGCCTCCACCTTCGTTACTTGGATTTGGATGGGAATATTTTAATAAATCAAACACAGATATAATCCTTAGAATGTGCTCTTTAACCACCACTATTCACTTTTCCACATAATCACCAGACAATTGGATACATTTCTGCCAATGATGAACAAGCCGTCACAGAAGTAGACACTCTGTTTTGGGTATGCATCATGCACAGATCTTCCGATAGCCAAGCAAAGAAATAATGTGACCCACACGTTCTTGTGAAATGCCAATTATGCTTGAAATTTCTCTCTGAGTGATTCGATGATCGTCCTGAATCAATCTGTCAACCTTTTGCTTGTGAAACTCGGTGGTTGCTGTCACAGGACGTCCAACACTTTGTTTGTCATGCAAGTTAGAGGTACCCACCTCAACATCTTTAAACTTACTCGCCCAACGACACACAGTACTCACATCAACACAACCACCATAAACAGCTTGCATTCCCTGATGAATCCCCTTTGGGGTGACACCTTCTACTGTCAAGAATTCAATGACTGCACGTTGCTTAAGTCGCGTAGACTGACCGTCTGCGCAGGGTTCCATATTTTGGACTTTAACAACACAACCGTTCAATGCTAAGGCTTCCCGCCAAAATGGAGCTGTAGAGGAGAGTCTACTGAACAAGCCAGTACCTGCCACATACCAGCCAAAATGGAACTGTAGGGGAGAGTCTACTGAACAAGCCAGTACCTGCCACATACCAGCCAAAATGGAACTGTAGAGGAGAGTCTACTGAACAAGCCAGTACCTGATACATACCAGCCAAAATGGAACCAAAATGGAACTGTAGGGGAGAGTCTACTGAACAGTACCTGCTCTACAGTACCTGCTCTACAGTCACCCACCACCAAGGCTCATGGCCCACCAGAGGTTGCTGACAATGAAAAGTTATGGTTTGAGTGCTGGATGAGGAAATGGGGAGACCTGGGTTCGAATCACAGCCTCCAATGTACCTGTACAGCTGCTTCCGCTTGAGCTTTGGAGCCTCTTCAGGTGGGTCCCCCCGGTTGCCCTCTTCCCCCAGGCAGACCCAGGCGTGGAAGGCGAACCCGCTTCCGGGCCACTTCTGGATGGCCGGCACCATGATGCCCGCCATGCTGGGGCTGAGGTCGAAGTACTGCAGGGCCCGCTCCGGACCCTCCTTGCGGGCCATTCCCGAGAGAGCCCGGACCACTTGCGTGACGTAGGGGTGTGCCCCTTTCCCTGGCTCGGTCTGAAGGAGACGGAGGAGTTGCCGTAGTTCTCCGGGGCGGAGGGAAAGGCCCCCCAAGACCCGCAGGAGGTGGAGTAGGTTCTCGGTGCACTTCCCGCCCGGGGGATCGTCCTCAGTAGTGCACAGGGCACTCAGCAGGGCCCCCACCATCCCGGCCTCCACGCATGTGGTGCGGCTCCGCAGAGAAGCATCGCAGATCTTCTTCAGCCGCTCGGAGAGGAAGACCTGCAGGTCCCGGGAACGCAGCTCTGGGATCCACTGGATCAGGATCAGGAGCGGCTGCTCGTTGTGGATCGGGCGCATCGGGAATGAGCCATGGTCCCCTTCGACTGCCTGTGGAGGGAAAGGGAAATTGATTATTGCAATGGCTATACATTTCAGATTGCATGATGCTGCTGGATAATGATTTTAACAGGGCAGGAAGTTCGGTTGCCATTTTGGAAAGGGTGCCAGGGGAATCCATTTTAGTTACTCATTTTCTGAAGGGGGTATGTTTAGAAAGAGAAGCTTTGGGGGGAAATTAGGGAGGACTGTAATTGGCTGAGTGAGTGGGCGGAGCCTAACTTGGAAAAGGAAAAAAATGACTTTAAGGGAAGGTTTTGAAACACTTTCAGGGAGTTTGACTTTGGGTGTCAAAGAAGAAGAAGCTGGGAGTTAGGAATGGTGAAGGGTTAGTGTTGCAACCCTGAGTAGGAAACTGGACCCTCAGACAACAATCCACCACACTTGACTTCAGGAAAAACAATCCTTTTTTATTGAAGAAAGGTGAGTACAAAAATAGAGGAAATACGCAAGGTAAAAAGCCACAGTAAAAATCAGCAACAAGAAATGTCCATGAACAAGATCAAAAACCCACAGTAACACTGCTAAATCCTGGAACCTGTTAGCAATCCACTAACCGTACTTGAAGCAACTCTTAGGAATAAGGCCGCTGGAATCAGGAGACCTGCCAAGGATGATGCTTGAATCTGGAATAATGCCTGGTCTGAAGATGCATCCAAGCGAGAGGTACTTAAGGCCGAGAAATCTATTACATGACACGCCTGCAGGCTTTGTTTGCATTTTCTCAGTCTAGCTGACCTTCGTAAACTTTGAGATTCTCCCCTGCTCTGCCAAATCTGCCCTCTCCTATCCTCATTAGAGAGACCAGGTGTCAGATTCTCTGGAGAGCTAAGACTGGGAGGAAAAGGGAGTGAAAGTTCATCGCTTGGCTCTGAAATATTCTCATGGGAATTTGGACTTTCACTTTCCAAGGCTGCAGGAGTTTCATTACACAAACCGTCATCTTCTACCTTGCCCTCAGAATCAATTAGCATCATTAGCATCAGGAAATACAATCAGAGAATCAGGTTCAGGTTCATACCCAGGCTGAACCCCAAAAGTTAGTGAGAAAGGCCTGAAATTGGTCAGTTGGCTAGCAGAGATGGCTAGTGAGTAGGTTTTCTACAGTTATTAGGGAAATAGCTGGTGGAGGCGTGTAGAGATAGATCCTGGGTAGGACTATCTGTGGAGGTGTTTAGAATTACTTTCAGAGAATAAATTCTGTCAGTAAATTCAGTAGAAGGAGAGAGAAGTGTTCCTGTGTAACTGAGTCTGAACTGCTTAAAGTAACCACACACTTTTAAAGTCAATATTTTGAAACAGCTAAGCTTTATACCGGAATTGTTCCAGTTCTCTTAAATAAACATCATTGTTTTGTTGTTCATAGCATCTGCCTCATGTGTGCCTCTGTGGGCGAAGTTTTAAAAGCAGTTTCCTGCAGCAATCAAGAGTATATGGTGTCAGCGTATATCTTTAAGAACAATCTTTTAGTGTTTACCTCACAACACAAGCCTGAGTGCTAAATCCAACTCACTCTTGCCTAAAATACCTCAAGTAAGCCAAGGGCTCAACAGTGTTCCTAAGTTTGGTGATAGCCAGGGAGCTTTCAAAAATGGTTTTTGGCCAGAAGAAAGTTCCAGCTTTCCTTACAGCTTTTGTTTTGGGCTTTTATACACAGAAGCCACATTCCAGTCACAAGTGGTGTTCTGACTTAAGGGATTTTATTCTCCAAATAAAGCCTCAACTCCATTATACAGTGGTGATTATATTTTTAATGGTTTTTATAATATTATGCTGATTGTTTTAATTGTATTTTTCCGAATGTATGGCATCAAATTCTGCCAATTCTGGAAGCCGCCTTGAGTTGCCTTAGCGCTGAGAAAGGCAGGCTACAAATACTGTAAATAAATAAACAAACAAACAAATGTTTAGCTGTTGTTGTAAACTGCCTTGGGTCCTCGAAGAAAGGCAATATAGGCATTTCCCAATAAATACATAAGTGAAGTTTCAACTTGTTGTCCACTTAAAATGGCATGGCACCCCAGCATCTCATTATTCCAGAAATGCACCTAACAACAACAACAACAACAACAACAGCAACAAAAACAACAACAAGCCAATGCAGTTAAAGTAGTGTCAATATGCCCCTTGCCTTTCATCATTTTGTAAATGGCAATAATAATAGTAATAATAACAACAAGAACAACAAAATCCCAAAATAAAATTCTGTTGCTGGTTTGAAATTGTTATTTCCTGTTTAATTGTGAGGTCCTTCCTTTGAAAGTAGTTGTTATACTCCAGAAACTTTGTTTTTGTGGCTCAAACTTTGTGGAATGGGTTGAGAATCTATTTGCTGGGGTTCAGCCCGTGTGTGAACCTGTACCTGACTCTCTGATTGTATTTCCTGATGTCAATGAAGATGTCAATGATTCTGAGGTCAATGTAGAAGATGACGGTTTGTGTAGTGAAAATCCTGCTGCTTTGGAAAGCGAAAGTCCAAATTCCCATGAGAATGGTTCAGAGCCAAGCCGTGAACTTTCACTCCCTTTTAGCTCTTCAGATAATCTGACACCTGGTCCCTCTAACGAGGATAGACGGGGGCAGATTTGGCAAAGCAGAGGCGAAGCGCAGAGTTTATGGAGGTCAGCTAGATTAAGAGAAATGCAAACACGGCCTTCAAACATGTCACGAAATAGATTTCTATGCTTTAAAAACGCTTGGTCTGGATGCTCATTCAGTCAAGGCATCGTTTCAGATTCATGTGCAGACTCTTGCAGTTCTCCTGCTTCCAGTGGCTTTGTTCCAAGGAGTTTTTCTAGTGCTTCAAGTACGGTTAGTGGATTGCTAACAGGTTCTAGGATTTAGCAGTGTTACTGTGGGTTTTTGATCTTGTTCATGGACATTTATTGTTGCTGATTTTTACTGTGGCTTTTTACCTTGCATTTTCCTCTATTTTTGTACTCATCTTTCATCAATAAAAAGGATTGTTTTTCCTGAAATCAAGTGTGGTGGACTGTTGTCTGAGGGTCCAGTTTCCTGCTCTGGGTTGCAACACTATTGAAAAATTATAGCAAAATGTGCTGCAAGATATCTTTCCCACAAAAACAAACTTCTGGCAATTTAATAAATTTTTTCCATGTTTTTATTTTAGAACCAATTAAGAAATGACATTGATAACCCAGGAACAAAGATCATGTTACATAGTTAAATAAGAATAATAAGAGGAGGAGATCAATACAATTGAAGCTGTGTAGATGCACCTTCTGTTATGTATCCCATTATTGCAAGCTCAAGGAGCTTATCAAAGGAATGGTGCTAGTGAAGATGTATCTACACTGTAGAATGAATGCAGTTTGACATCACTTTGAAGGCTATGGCTCAATGCACTCTTGGGCAGAGAAAGGTAAATTGCATATCTCCTTTCTTGCCTTGGAAAGGTCAAGGTTTCTGTGAGCAATATATTGACACGGAGAGGAAGATCTCACCATGTTGAGGAGCTCCTCCAGCAGCTTCTTTGTGGGTTGACTCTGGCTCTTCAGGACTTCATACAGATGGGAATAGCCAATCCTTTCTTTGAACACCTCCTAGAAAAAGGCCAACAGTTTTTTGGTGAAGACAGAGATGTGGTGTCCATTTAATTACTCTTAAGCGCATATCTAAAGGGGTTTTTATTACAGAAGGATAGATTTTGATCCAATATTAGAAGGAACTTCTTGACAGTAAGAGAAGTTTGGCAATGTCCATATAAGAGGTGAAGTTCGACAATGTCTTTGGTGGTCTACAAAAACAGACTGCACAAGTCCTTGTTGGGGATCCTGCATTGAGCAAGAGGCTGGACTAGATGACCTCAAGGGGCCCCTTCCATCTCTAGGATTCTACAGCATCTGCAGAACCCATTTCCATTGTGATTGTTGGTCCTCCAGTGTGGCTGTATTGCCAGGGTTCTATCAAAACAAGACTACATCATGACTCTATTCACTTTGGTCATCTTGACCTCAACAAATGCCTGGACTAGATGATCTCAAAAGAACCCATTCAAAAGGTAGATCCTACCAGAAGCTTAAGCTGGCTCAGCCAAAAGTCAGGAATTATGGGAGGTGAAGTCCAAAACATCTGGAAGACCAAAATCAGATGGAGATACAGCATTGTGTAGAATGAGGTTAGACTATATAGGACTAGGGCCCCTTTCCTTCTCTGTAAGTCTACCTATATACCAATATAGTGACTCCAACTCAATGAGTCTACCTAGACCAGGTGATATCATGACTCCATTCACTTTGACCATCTTGACCCCAACAAATGTTTGGACTAGATGACCTCAAGGGAACTCCTTCGAACACTAGGATCCACCAAAACCAGGCAATAGCATGAATGCATTCACTTAGGCCATTTTGACCCAGCAAATGTCTGGACTAGATGTTCTCAAGTCCCCTTCCTTTTCTACAAGTACCGATACCTGTATCATGACTCCGACTCTATGAGTCTACCTAGACCAGTCTACCTATATAGTGACTCCAATGCAATGAGACCAGGTTATATCACAACTCCGTTCCCTTTGGCCACCTTGACCCCAGCAAATGTCTAGAGTAGATGACCTCAAGAGAACCCTTTCAAACACTGGGATTCTATCAAAACCTGGCTATATCATGACTCCATTCACTTTGGCCATCTTGACCCAGCAAATGTTTGGACTAGATGAGATCGAGAGAACCCTTTGAAATGCTAGGATCCTATCAAAACCAGGCTAAATCATAACTATATTCACTTTGGCCATCTTGACCCCAGCAAATGTCTACACTAGATGACCTCAATGGTTCCCTTCCTTCTCTGTAAGTCTACCTATGAACCTGTATCATGACTCCAACTCTGTGAGTCTACCTAGACCAGTCTACCTATAACATGACTCCAACACAATGAGACCGGGTTATATTATGACTCCATTCACTTTGGCCATCCTGACCCTAGAAAATGTCTAGATGACCTCAAGAGAACACTTTCAAACACTAGGATTCTACCAAAGCCACCATGACTCCATCATGACTCCCTTTACTTTGGCAATTTTGACCCCAGCAAATGTCTAGAGTAGATGACCTAAAGCAGTGGTTCTCAACCTGGGGTCCCCAGATGTTTTTGGCCTTCAACTCCCAGAATCCTAACAGCTGCTAAATTGGCTGGGATTTCAGGGAATTGTAGGCCAAAAACATCTGGGGACCCCAGGTTGAGAACCACTGACCTAAAGAGAACCCTTTCAAATGCTAGGATCCTACCAAAACCATAACTTTATTCACTCTGGCCATCTTGACCTCAGTAAATGTCTCCTCTAAATTACCTCAAGCGAGCCCCTTCAAACACTAGGATCCCACCAAAACCAGGCTATATCGTGACTCCATTCACTTTGGCTATCTGGTACCCAGCAAATGCCTGGACTAGATGGCCTTCTATCTCAGTAAGTCTACCTATGTATCTGTATCATGACTCCAACTCCATGAGTTTATCTAGACCAGTCCATCTATATCATGACTCTCTTCCCTAGATGATCTCAAGGATTCCCTTCTACCTATGTACCTGTGTCATGACTCCAACTCTATGAGTCTACCTAGACCAGTCTACCAGTATCATGACTCCGATGCAATGAGACCAGGTTATATCATGATTCCATTCACTTTGGCCATCTTGACCCCAGCAAATATCTGGACTAGATGATCTCAAGGATTCCTTTCTATCTCTGTAAGTCTACCTATGTACCTGTGTCATGACTCCAACTCTATGAGTCTACCTAGACCAGTCTACCGGTATCATGACTCCGATGCAATGAGACCAGGTTATATCATGATTCCATTCACTTTGGCCATCTTGACCCCAGCAAATATCTGGACTAGATGACCTCAAGGATTCCCTTCTATCTCTGTAAGTCTACCTATGTACCTGTGTCATGACTCCAACTCTATGAGTCTACCTAGATCTGTCCCCCTATATTGTCACTCCAATGCAATGAGTCCAGGTTATATCATGACTCCCTCCCCTTTGGCCATCTTGACCCCAGCAAATGTCTAGACTAGATGACCTCAGGGGAATCCCTTCAAACACTAGGATCCTTCCAAAACCTGGCTATATCATGACGCAATTCACTTTGGCCATCTTGACCTCAGTGAATGTCTGAATAGCTAGGGAAGGCTCAACTAATAGCCTGAGCTCATTCATTTTTGACGATTTGGGGTGCTTTGTTTACGGGATGTACAAGCTGTAATATTTTGCAAAGTCTATATAAGGTGTGATGCATTGATGTCCACATTCAACCATCCTTTCATCCCTTACCTTGGCAGATGGGGAGCCGCTCATGATCGAGGTCAGGACTCTGATGGCGTGGATGGGAATGGCGTCCGAAGTGTGGTCAAAGACCTGAGGAGACAAAAGAGGTCAATGAGTCGAAGTCCTTCCTAGCCATTGACCTGATCAGGACCACATTTCTGATTGGCTGGCCAACTTCTCAAAGTCTGAGAAGCCCACGTTTCCACGATGACCACCTGAAAAGGAGATGCTAAGCAATGAGGTCAAGAATTAATGTTATTTACTTCCTTAAAATGCAGAAGTATACATGCTGAACAAGTGCAGAAAGGGAGCAGAACCCCCAAAACAACATTTCCAGCCATTACGTTAAGGTGCAACATGCGCCACAAACCAAAGTCGAAAGCCATTGGGAGCATTTGAAGAACGAGCAAAAGGAAACGTTGAACCATGATCAAGAAAGAAAATAATAATAATAGTAGTGAGCAACTGAACATGCAATTGTGTTGTTGTGATACAGCGTGATAGTAGCGTTGCTACTACTGGTAGGAGGGAGAAAAGGGCAGCACAGCTGCTGGAAGAGGAGCAGCAGCGCAAAAGGATTAACGAGATAATCACAGCGCCAAGTGATTCAGAAACCTTTGATGGGGAGGAAAGCAGGGGAGTTAAGCGAGCTACTCGCGATCAAGAGTCCGACGAAGAGATTGAAAGGAAACGTATCCGGGAGATACTTAATGCTCCTACTTCAGATGAAGAATTCATGGGTTTTGATGGGAATGATGGGGCTTCTAGTAATGATGAAGGGGACCAAGGTTTAGATGGGACCCGTGTGCAACAGATCAGACATATTTGTAATCAACCCACTTCTAGCGAAGTGTTTGGGGGTTTTACGGGTGACTGGCAACCTGGTAATTCCTGGCAAGACATAAGTCTTAGCAGACGCTGGCAGTGCTGGAGAGATGTGCCGTCATGCTCAGCTGCGGGGGGTGAGGCAGTTGAGAGCAGTAATGAGGGAGAAGGGAGTTGCCCTTCTACTGATGAGGAATTATGAGATAAAAGCTGCTGTGTTGACCATAGAACTTCGCAGAAGGCAAAGTGTCTTTATTGGACATAAATCTTTGTTGCTGCCAACTCTCTAGCTTGGGTCTTTGGACTGTAGCTTCCAGTGTTCTTGCGTTCCTGAATTCCTGAGTTCCTGTGATTCTTGCATTCCTGTGTTTACGGCTTGACCAACGTTTGTGCCTTTTGGACTTTGCTATTGCTAACTCTGTGTTCTGACCTTGCATCGTTTTGGGACTTCGATTTTTGGACGTTTCTCATTGAACTTTTGAACTGTGCCAACTTTAAAGCGGATTGCTGCATCTTTTGTTTAACCCGGATTAAACAGCATTATAATCCGGGTTATATTTTTGTTACCTGTATTGCTTTATCTTTTATGCCAAATTATTGCTATTGTTCTCAGCACTGAAGTTAAGTGCCTCTGAAGACTCTTTTGTGGCAATAAAGCTGTGTTTGAACTGTTTATCTTGTGTCTAGCTCTAATTAAGGCTTCTGGGTCTTGACATGTGTTTTCCCATTGCACAATACAGTGTCGTGCTCTATTTATGCTTTTATAGTGGAAAGAACCCCCCAAAAGTCACTACTTCTCAATTTGTTTCACCTGCGCCATTTCGGCCAACGCTCTATCGTACACTAAGATGATAAACCCACATTTGGGGAGCATCTACATTGTAAGGTTAATGCAGTTTGGCACCTCTTTAACTGCCTAAATTGAATGCTATGGGAACATGGGAGTTATAGTTTGGTGGTATGATTCCATCATATTGAGCCATGGCAGTTAAAGTGGTGTCAGACTGGTTTAACTCTACTATGTAGATCAGTGTTTCTCAACCAGGGGGTGGGGTCGCAATGGGGGTGTCATAGGGGTTGCCAAAGACCATCAGAAGACACAGTATTTTCTGTTGGTCATGGGGGTTGTGTGGGAAATTTGTCCCAATTCTATCGTTGGTGGGGTTCAGAATGCTCTTGGATTGTAGGTGAACTATAAATCCCAACAACTACAACTTCCAAATGACAAGGTCTATTTTCGCCAAACTCTACCACTGTTCACATTTGGGCATATTGAAGATTCGTGCCAAGTTTGGTTTAGATCCATCATTGTTTGAGTCCATATTGGATCAACGTTTCCTGATTCTTTGGATTTTGTTAGAGAAGTATGAACTTTGTTTTTGGACATTGCTGAACTCTACCTTGGACTAATTTGTTCCTGCTTATCTTCTTACCTAATTGGATTTACCTATTCCTTTAAAGTGCTTTTTTACTTAGCTGCTTTTACTTATCTTCAATAAAAGGATTGTTTTCCCTACTCAACATGTGGTGCTTTAAAGTCAGAGGGTCATTCCTGTCCTGGAGTGCCATAACTGCGACCCACACCAATCAAGACCAAACTTGGCATACAGAGCCCCCATGATCCACTCTACGTTCTGGTGCAGTTTGGAGGAGGATGTACTTTGGACAATGGGACTTGCATATGGGAGTTGTAGTTCACCTGCACCCACTGAACTCAGCTGATATTGGATCTGGACTGCACTTGAAGCACAAACAAACAATGCCTTTCTCAAATAATCCGGGCACCGCTGAGTCCTCAAGCTAGTGCTTAATAAAAATAAGACATCCCCAATTCCCAAACTCAAGGTCAATGCCCACCAAACCCTTCAAGTGTTTTCTGTTGGTCATGGGAGTTCTGTGTGCCAAGTTTGGTTCAATTCCATCATTGGTGGAGTTCAGAATGCTCTTTGATTGTAGGTGAACGATAAATCCCAGCAACTACAACTTCCAAATGACAAGGTCTATTTTCCCCAAACTCCACCAGTGTTAACATTTGGGCATATTGAGTCTTTGTGCCAAGTTTGGTTTAGATCCATCATTGTTTGAGTCCACAGTGCTTTCTGGATGGAGGAGAACTACAACTCCAAAACCTTTCCTGTCCCGGAGTGCAACTGTATATATGTATACTAGCTGTCCCCTGCCACGCGTTGCTGTGGCTCAGTCTGTTGATCTGGAAAATAAAGTAATGAGTAAGTGTTGGTTTCTAATATATGTAATTCCTTTATGCTTGTGAGTAAACAGTATTTCTTGTTGTTTCTTTGTCAGTGTTGATGTGGAGAGTGTCTGGTTTGCCTACGCTGGAATATGCAACATATCATTGTCCTTCCTTAGGGGTCCCTTTCAAATCTATGATATTATATCTGTATGTGTATGAATCATATATATCTATCTCTATCTATGGCTGGATGGCTCTTTGTCAGGAGGGCTTTGTTTACGTTTTCTTGCCCTGGTGAAGGGAGTTGGATTGGATGACCTAAGTATTTTCTGTTGGTGATGGGGGTTCTGTGTGGGAAGTTTGCCCCATTTCTGTCGTTGGTGGGGTTCAGAACGCTCTTTGATTGTAGGTGAACTATAAATTCCAGTAACTACAACTCCCAAATGTCAAAGTCTATTTCCCCCAAACTCCATCTGTGTTCATATTTGGGCATATTGAGTGCTTGGGCCAAGTTTGGTCCAGATCCATCATTGTTTGAGTCCACAGTGCTCTCTGGATGTATTTATTTATTTATTTTATTTACTACGCTTATATACCGCGATTCTCAGCCTACTGGCGACTCATTGCGGTGTGTAGGTGAACTACAACTCCCAAACACAAGGTCAATGCCCACCAAACCCTTCTAGTGTTTTCTCTTGGTCATGGAATTTCTGTGTGCCAAGTTTGGTTCAATTCCATCGTTGATGGAGTTCAGAATACTCTTTGATTGTAGGTGAACTATAAATCCCAGCAACTACAACTCCCAAGTGACAAAATCATATATTTTTAAGTGATAGTCACCCCTTGTGTTGTGAGATGTTTTGTTGCCGAATTTGTTATGATTTCGTTCATTAGTTCTTTTGTTTTTAAGGTATTCATTATGCACAGAGCATGCATATATATGTATGTATGTATGTATGTATGTATGTATGTATGTATGTATGTATAAGCATCCTCGGTTTTCAGATGAACCCAGTTTCTTGCGAGGTTTTTAGCCTTCTCTGCCAAAGAGGGCTGGGGCCTCATCAAACTACAACTGACATGTTTTTCCATCCTCGAAACCTATAATTAAGTTGCTCCCAGCTGGGAATACTGTATTCAGCTTTTCAGCCATTTCACCTGCCGTGAGCTCACCTTCCTTTGGCTAAGAGATACGACTTCTTGCAGGATGTAATTGGATTCTGTATTTTTTTTTCTCTCAAAAGAGCAGCTGGAAGAGTTGGCTACCAAACCCGCCTCCGCCTCGGTTTCCCTGGCTACGGAAACCCACAATTATCTTCACATCCCGAACATGCCACAAAACATTAGCGAGCCTGGTGCTTTCCGGTCTCCGTGCGCCTCTTTCTGCCTGGCAACAAAGTCAAACTTTCTACAGCTGTGGTCCTTCTAGTTTGTCTGAAGCTTAAAAGTAGGGACCTTCTTGCATTGATGGGAATTGCACAGTCCCCACTTGGACTACAGCTCCCATCGTTCTTCAAAGCTTGGACGGCTTGCAAAGCTTGCCTTGCACACTGCAGATCCCAACACAAGGGAGAAGGTACTGCATGCACTCTTGCAAAAGTTTTAAAATTCGAAAAACAATCTGTTCCTGGTCTGAAAGTGTTATTTCCTGTTTAGTTGTGCAGTTGTTACTGTGAAAGCAGTTGTTAAGTTTCCCTGAAAATAAGACCTACCCATCCTGGTGAGGTTTGGAAGAAAATGGACCATGGGACTTGCAGTACCTTCATTCACATCCTGAGACCGCTGCGATCCCCACCAATGATGGATCAGTACCAAACTTGGCACACAGAGCCACCATGACCCACTCTACATCCCGTTGGAGGAGGATGGACCACTCTACCTCCTGTTGGAGGAGGATGGACCATGGATGATGGGACTTGCAGTACCTTCAATCATTTCTTGAGACCACTGTGACTCAAACCAATGACAGATCAGGACCAAACTTGGCACACAGGGTCCCCATGACCCACTCTACATCCTGTTGCTGTTTGGAGGAGGATGGACATGGATAATGGGACTTGCAGTACCTTCACTCACTTCCTGAGACCGCTGCGATCCCCACCAATGATGGATCAGTACCAAACTTGGTACACAGAGCACCATGACCCACTCTACATCTTGTTGCTGTTTGAAGGAGGATGGACCATGGATGATGGGACTTGCAGTACCTTCACTCATTTCCTGAGACCACTGTGACTCAAAGCAATGACGGATCAGGACCAAACTTGGCACACAGAGTCTCCATGACCCACTCTACATCCTGTTGCTGTTTGGAGGAGGATGGACCATGGATGATGGGACTTCCAGTACCTTCACTCATTTCCTGAGACCACTGTGACTCAAACCAATGACGGCTCAGGACCAAACTTGGCACATAGAGCCACCATGACCCACTCTACATTATGTTGCTGTTTGGAGGAGGATGGACATGGATAATGGGACTTGCAGTACCTTCACTCATTTCCTGAGACCATTGTGACTCAAACCAATGATGGATCAGGACCAAACTTGGCACACAGAGTCCCCATGACCTACTTTATGTTCTGGTGCGGTTTGGGGGACAATGGACCATGGATGTTGGGATTTGCAGTACCTTCACTAACTTCCAGAGAGCACTTTGACACCAACCAATGACGGATTAGGACCAAACTTGGCACATAGAGCCTCCATAAACCACTCTCTGTTCTGGTGCAGTTTGGAAGAGTTTGGACAATGGATGATGGGTCTTGCAGTATCTTCACTCACTTGAGACCACTGCTGTTAGAGTTCAGCCTGCTTTGGATATGGGGAATGATGTAAATGAGATTCAAGATGGCAATGGTTTGGTCAGTGATATTGATGTAGAGAATGACATAGAGACGCCGGTTCAAAGTGTAGTTTCCCATGAGAATGTTCCTACAGGCTGTAGGGATGATGGTTTACTCCCTGAACTGCTCCCAGAGAGTTCCCAGGATGTAGGGCTTGAAAACAACTCGGCACCTGCAGAAATTAATGAGCATATAAATAGGCAGGTGGAAAATAGTCAAAACAGACAGGTCAGGCAATGCCTTTGGCATTCTGCCAGGATCTGACAGAAAAAGATAAGGGCCACTCAATGAAAGTGAAACCAGTTTCTGAGCGCTTGGAAGGGCTTAAAAGTTCCAAGCATGGGAAATATTGCCAGATGAAGCATCGTTTAGAATCCTGCTAAGTTCTTGGCCTCGTCTATGGAAGCCTTACTTGGAAGATTCATGCTTAAGGATTTCTTGTTTCCCGGTTTGGCTTTTTGTCTCTTGTGATTACCTGCTCATGCCTTGGATCAACGTTTTCTGATTCTTTGGATTTTGTTAGAGAATTGTGGACTTTGTTTTTGGACATTGCTGAACTCTACCTTGGACTAATTTTTTTGCTCTTTGATTGTAGGTGAACTATAAACCCCAGTAACTACAGCTCCCAAACGTCAAGGTCTATTTTTCCCAATCTCCACTAGTGTTCACATTTGGGCATATTGAATATCCGTGCCAAGTTTGGTCCAGATCCATCACTGTTTGAGTCCACAGTGTTCTCTGGATGTAGGTGAACTACAACTCCAAAACTCAAGGTCAAAGCCCACCAAGCCCTTCCTATATTTCCTGTTTCTGTCATGTGAGTTCTGTGTGCCAAGTCTGGATGAATTCCATCGCTGGTGGAGTTCAGAATGCTCTTTGATTGCAGGTGAACTATAAATCCCAGCAACTACAACTCCCAAATGACAAAATCAAGTTTTTTTGAGTGATGGTCACTCCTTGGGTTAGTGGGTGTCTTGTGGCCAAATTTAGTGGCAATTCGTCCAGTAGTGTTTGAATTATGTTAATCCCACAAACGAATATTGCATTTTTATTTATATGGATATATTTATATATTATTATATATTATCGGTAGTAATTATATTTAATTCTAGCTGTACCCACCACATGTTGCTGTGGCCAACCTTCTCTCCCTCTTTCCTTCCTTCCCTCCCTTTTTTTCCTTCCTTCTCTCCTTCCTTCATTCTCTACCTCTTTCCTTTCTTCCCCCCTTTTTCTGTCCCTTCTTTTTTCTTCCCTTCTTTCCTTCTCTACCTCTTTCTTTCCTTCCTTCCTTCGTTCTTTGCGTCTATCCTTCTTTCCTTCTTTTCCCCCTCCCTCTTTCTTTCTCTTCAATACTGAGTGGTGTCGGAAGTCATGGTTGGGGAAGTGGTGGAGTGGGTATGGGTAGCCAATATTTACATTTTGAATTATGTATACTCTAGGCCATTTTCACAAAATACACAATAAAAAATTATGTCACAAAAAAAGGAAACTGAACCGAAACCCAGTGCGGCGAAACGAATGTGCCAAGCCCCTTGAGCCTCCGCAGCCAAAAGGAAAGCAGACCTCATGCGCCCCGCATGCAAGACCCGGCACAACGCAAGTGGCGGATAGGCATGCCGGCCGTACCTGATGGACATCCGCCTCACTCAGCAGCCGCATGGCAAGGTCGCTCCCAGAAGCCTTGCTCTCCCCACTCAAGTAGAGCTGTTGGAAACGGGGTCAGAGAGGCAGCGAAAGGAGGAAAGGAAACACTGTTAGGAAGAGGGAAGCCTTGGGCAGAATCCTAGAAGAGTTGGAAGAGAAACCATGCTGCTGCCCAGATTGACCCAGAGTGCGCTGAAGCTGTTGCACATCCCGTTCTCCAAGGGTTACAACAACCAAGACCAGTCAATAAAGAACACCACTCAGAAACAGGAGAACTCCAGACAGCAAACAATCAAGGGCCAGTTAACACCTTCCAAACAGAGGGTACCTGTTGAACCTCAGTGTTGGGGTTCAGCCTGATCTGTGTGAACCTGATTCTCTGATAGTATTTCCAACTGAGCAAGCCACTGAACATGTAGTTTTCCCTGACAATGTGGAAACTGGTGTTGATGCTGAGTTCAGTGGCGAGAAAAGCGAAACTGAACAGCCGGATGAAAATGTTTTGGAATCCAGCCGTGATAGCTCTCCACCTGGGTTTTTTTTTAATGAGGACCGAAGGGAACAGATAACGAGAGACAGGAGTGATTCACAGTTCCTACGAAGGTCAAATAGATTACAGGAGAGACAGGCTCAGGCTTCAAAGTCATGGGGCGTTTCAAGGAATAGTTTCTTTGGTATAAGGGGCTGCCTGTCGGATGTCTCCTCAGATCAAGCAACGTTTGGGACTGTGGCTGTGCCTTGACAGAATTCCTGTGTTCCATGGTCGGTAATCCCAGAGGCTTCTAGTTTTCAAGTACATGGTTAGTGAGAGGCTAACAGGTTCCTGGTTCTTGTATTGTGGTTTTTGGAATTTTGCTCTAGTTCAGAGATTTTCCTGACTGCTGTGTTTCTATGGTGGCTTTTTGACTTGCATTTAACTTTCTTTTGTAACCAATTTTTCATCAATAAAAAAGGATTGTTTTTTTCCTACAGACCAGTCTGGTGGATTTAATCTTATGGTCTCGTTTCTTGATCTGGGATGCAACACTCAACAGGAGTTCACCTTGCTCACAGCACTCATCAAGAAACAAAACATTGTAACAAACAGTTTATTGCTAAAAACACATATAAAGAGAGAAAAGGCGCCATAAGCAAATGGAAGGGTAAAAATCCAAGAGTTAATGAAGGAAGCAAGTACCAAAGGCAGTAGGGAAATCCTGAAAACAAGGGTTAAAACATGAACATGGATTCCAAAATAAATCCAGGAAACAAGGAACAAAACATGAGCATGAATCTTGAGTCTTGAACTAAGGCCTGAACTAGGTACAAGACAAGGGTACATAACTCCAGTCGCGAAGTTGCTTGATCTAAAATCTCAACTGCTCTCTGACTAATTTAAGGACTGCAAAACATGAGCACATTCCTTTGACCTTGAGAGGCCTGCTTCTGCCTCTTTTTCTCACGGATCCTTTCTGATTTTCTGTACCTGAATCTCTGACGACTCAGAAGCAGCCTGGTATTTCTGTCCAAGCCATCTGTTCCCTCGGATGAGCTAATGTTATCCTCCTCTTCCTGCCTGTTGGATTCCAAACAGTTCCACTTTCACACTCTGTCTCAGCAACAGCATCTTACTCCAAACCCCATCCGTACCCTTATCTACAGAACCATCTTGCTCTAAAACCCCCTCTGTTTGCTCACCTAAAGCATCAACAGGCCCTGAACCCCCAAAATACTCATCTTCATCTGGTTGAACCTCTAGGCAACACGGGCCAGGCCACCTCTACACAGTAGGCTTGTTTGATAAAAAAAATGGTCCATAACTCGTTTTGGATGTTCGTGGTTCGATTCTAAAGTCAATTCCGATTTTCACAGAAAAAAATGTTCAAAACTTTTCAAAACTTCCGAGACTTCCGAATCCTTCCTTAATGGTTTGAAAGTGTTATTTCCTGTTTCATCCAGAAGAGGGAGGGCAAAGGGAGGAAACTCATCCTTCTCTGGTTTATAATGGCTTCTCTGGCTTGACACAGAAGGGAGGGGAAGGAAAGGGAGGAAATTCATCCACTCTGGTTGAAAATTGTCTCTCTTGCTTGAGACAGAAGTGGGGGGGGGGGAGGGTAGAGTAAAGGGAGGAAATTCATCCACTCTGGTTGAAAATGGCTTCCCAGGCTTGAGACAGAAGTGGGGGGGAAGGAAAGGGAGGAAATTCATCCACTCTGGTTGAAAATGGTTTCTCTGGCTTGAGACAGAAGTTGGGGGGGGGGTAGAGCAAAGGGAGGAAATTCATCCACTCTGGTTGAAAATGGCTCCCCAGGCTTGAGACAGAAGTGGGGGGGAAGGAAAGGGAGGAAATTCATCCACTCTGGTTGAAAATTGTCTCTCTGGCTTGAGACAGAAGTGGGGGGGGGGAGGGTAGAGCAAAGGGAGGAAATTCATCCACTCTGGTTGAAAATGGCTCCCCAGGCTTGAGACAGAAGCGGGGGGGAAGGAAAGGGAGGAAATTCATCCATTCTGGTTTAAAACGGTTCTCTGGCTTGAGCCAAGGCCAGGGACTAGAAGCAGGGAAAAGCTGAATCATTTCTGACTCACTTACTGCTTCATAACAGAAATGGTGGAAAAAGCTTCGGAAGGGCAAAGGGACTTCCGGTTTCCTTAAAAACTTCGAAATCGCTTCAAAAACCAAATCTTTCCAAATTTATTCCGAATTACGAAGATTCCGACCAAACCTAACCATGCCTATTACACAGATACTCTCACTGATTGACTTTGCAAACTTCATGACTACTCAATCGATCAAACTTCATGTATGACCTGCCCCATCTCCCAATGTGGACTCAGGGTGGTTTACAACATAAAAGGCAACCATTCAATGCTACAAAAATACACAATGAATTTTAAAAATATAGATAAATAGTATAAACATTCAATTATGTTGTTGTTGTTGTTCATTCGTTCAGTCGTCTCCGACTCTTCGTGACCTCATGGACCAGCCCACGCCAGAGCTCCCTGTCGGCCGTCACCACCCCCAGCTCCTTCAAGATCATTCAATCATAACCAAAACATAATAAAGACCAATCAAACCAATTTCACAGCAATAGTAAAAAACAAAGTTAAAAGCCAGAGACATTGATAAAAAAAAAAAACCATATCCAGCATCAAAAGTCATATCCATAGGTGTAGACCAGGCACAGGCAAACTTTGGCCCTCCAGGTGTTTTGGGCTTCTACTCCCACCATTCCTACCAGAGAAACAAAGAATTGAAAGGGACTACAAAGGCCATCGAGTCCAACCCCCTTCTATAATGAAGGAATGACTGTAGAGAGAGAAATATATATACACACATACATACATGGGATGGCAAAGTGGTTCCCTGGAGATAGAATCATAGAATCACAGAGTTGGAAGAGATCTCATGGGCCATCCAGTCCAACCCCATTTTGCCAAGAAGCAGGAAAATTGCATTCAAAGCACCCCCGACAGATGGCCATCCAACCTCTGTTTAAAAGCTCCAAAGAAGGAGCCTCCACCACACTCCAGGGCAGAGAGTTCCACCACTGAACAGCTCTCACAGTCAGGAAGTTCTTCATGTTCAGATGGAATCTCCTTTCTTGTAGTTTGAAGCCATTGTTCCGTGTCCTAGTCTCCAGGGAAGCAGAAAACAAGCTTGCTCCCTCCTCCCTGTGGCTTCCTCTCACATATTTATACATGGCTATCATGTCTCCTCTCAGCCTTCTCTTCTTCAAGCTAAACGTGCCCAGCTCTTGAAGCCGCTCCTCATAGGGCTTGTTCTCCAGACCCTTGATCATTTTAGTCGCTCTCCTCTGGACACATTCCAGCTTGTCAATATCTCTGCTTGAAAACAAGGCACCCAGAAACAAGGCCTAACTCATTTTAATAGAAGGTAGGTTTACATGCCGTGATTTCAACGGCAATCTTGAAATGGAAAATGTCAGAAGGAGAAGCGTAGAGAAAAACCGGCACCTGGTTTGTTTAAAACGGCGACGGTTAAAAATAACCGGCCAGAGAGAGACAAAACACACACGATTCCAGGGAGCCTCCAGCTTTCATAATAGATATAAATCTTCTGGTTATTTACAGAAACATTAAGATTTATTAGGCTTTCAAGGGGAAGATGAGGGAGAACAGGAATGGATGGGAAATGCCCTCTTTTTGTTTGTGATCAGAAGCCATGTATGTTGCCATCACAATCCACCAAAAACATACCGCTACAAACGGACCTCTTCCCCATAGGCATTGTTCTCGTCTTTGGGCTGATTCATGCAGCCACGTACAAGTTTGAAACTTGAATTGAATTGGCCTTTTTAGCTGCAGCTTCCCACTGTTGGCTCATTTTCTGCTTGTGACCCACTAACACTCCTGGGTCCTTTTCACATGGATTGTTGTCAAGCTAGGTGATGTTGTTGGAACACACTGCTATAGCCTGTCCAAAACATGGGCATTCGAAGATGCATGCTGTAAACAAGTATGTAATATATAATATACATCCCACCCCTCTGCCTCCAATATGATAAATTAAAACTGCCACCAACCTAAATAATTTTAGGATTTTTCAATAAGTATTTGAGGCAAACTTTTCCCACTCCTGCCAACACTGCTTTTCCCCTGGCTCCCAAACAACTGTTTGGGAAGAGGCTTTTCTGGAACTATCAACAAGGCTTGATGACTGAATGATGCACAGTAGAGATCTTTTGAAAGTTAAATAGAACAAGATTTGTTTATTAAAAAACAGACAACAAACTACTCCTGAGAGGTACAAAAAGTGTGACTTGTTACAAAAGTACTTGAGCTTGATGGTTGCTTGAATAATTCTCTTCACTTAGTTACAGACAGAGCTAACCAAACAGATCTGGCTGTTGGTAACAAAAACCCTCACTCTACTTCAGAGAAATAGTAATGAGTTCTGACTAACCTATCCTAGGCAGTCCCCTGGGTTATTAACTAACTCTACCCTAGAGTTCTTCCTGCTAACTAACCCAGCCTAGAGAGCTAACCTCTTGTGCTAACACTCACAAGAAATCAGATTGCTGTCTGACCTTTTTCCTGTCAGCACACAGCACTGTCTGACACAGACACTCTCTCCCTGAAAACCCAGTTTCAAAAACCCTTCTTCACACACCAGCTCCCAGTTCTCAACTCCCACAGAAGCTATTGGAAGCATACTGCCATAGTTCATCCAAAGCTTGGGCATTTGTGGATGCATACTGCCACAGTCTGTACACTTGTTGATGCCTACTGCCATAGCCAATCCAAAATATGGGAATCTGTGGATGCATAGTACCATAGCCTGTACAAAACATGGTCACCTGTTGATGCATACTGCCATAGCCCATCCAAAATGTGGTCACTTTTTGAAGCATACTGCCATAGCTCATCCAAAACTAGGGCATTTGCGGATGCATGCTGCCATAGCTCATCCAAACACTGTTCTGCTGCAGATGCATGCTGCCATAACCCATCCAAAACATGGCCACTTGTAGATGCATGATGCTATAGTCCATAAAGAACATGGACATTTGTGGATGCATGCTGCCATTGCTCATCCAAAATATGTTTATTTTGTATGCATACTTCCACAGCCCATCCAAAAACTGTTTTCTTGCATATGCATACTGCCGTAGCCTGTACAAACATGGCCACTTGTGGAGGCATGCTGCCATAGCCCACCCAAAAACTGTTCTCTTGCAGATGCATGCCGCCATAGCCCACCCAAAACTTGAGAATTTGTGGATGCATGCTGCCATAGCCCATACAAAGCTTGGTCAGTTTTTGATGCATGCCGCCACAGCTCATCCCAAATGTGGTCACTCTTTGAAGCATACTGCCACAATCAATCCAAACCAAGTTCTGGTTGGGCAATGCACATGCATATGTGAATCAGGTGTTAGGTTGGGAGTTTTACTACAGGATGGAAAGCATTGTGTTTGGGAGGCACAAAAAGTCCTCGTGCTTGAGCCACTATGGTCTCTTAGCATACGCAAGCTCACAGTTGCAAAAAGGCATGTGCAAAACTGCACTAGCTCCACACAATGTGAGGATGGGGATGGTGCAACAAGCCAGACATTGTTGGACCGCAAAACCCAGCAGATTTAGCAAGAATAGACAACACCAAAGAACTCAGGAAAGTGAAGCCCAAAGACATTTGGAGAGCTGTGTGCATTGGCCAGTGCAAAACAAACAAACAAACAAACAACAACAACAAAACCAAAAGGCATGGGTCAGATATCTTTGTCAGACTATTGTTGTTGATGCCAATGCCCCTCACACTCAAAAGCAATGCAAAGTGCTATAGTCAGGGCTACAAATTCACAAAACATATCCCTTTGCACACAAGACCCCAAGCTTGCAATTTCATAGCATCGAGTTAGGCATCCATCCACAGACAAAGAACTCCAGTTCCTTCCTCTACTTGCCCTTAGGGCGCACCTGTATTATTGAATGAATGCAGTTGGCGTCACTTTTAAGTGTGACTCAATGCTATTGTCGTACTCCAGAGCAGGATCACCTCTGACCTTAAACACCACACCAATTGGGTAAAATCAGCAGTATATTCAGCCAAAGCAGTAAAAAGTAAGCAACAGTAAAAGTTCAAAATCCAATTTAGTCCATCAGGCACAAAGGAAAACAGGAACAAAGAGTTAATAGAAGTCCATGAAACTAGGCACTTGACTCCATAAGCAGCAGAGGAAACAAAACATGAGTTGGACAAACCTTGGTACATGGAATTCAGAACAAAGGAAACTTAAACTTGGCATTATCCCGACGTTGCCTCAACTGAAACAACTGTCTCTCGTGAATCATAATAAACCCTTCCCTGACTCGAAAGCTGCAAGGAACGCATTCCTTTTTAGTTTTGGTTTGTTATCTTTCTTCTGTTGGATCCGAGCTGCCTGAACTGCCTCTGTTTACTAAACCTTCTCTTTCTGTTCAAGGTCTTGCTCTCATCATTAACTCCTATACCTGGTAAATCAAAATCAGATTCATTCTCAGACAACTGCTCAGGGAACAGTGAGGAAAAGCCTTTCCCAAGCATGTGATGTTGAGAATCCTCTTGCAGAAGCTCAGGCCTCTCTTGTGAGCACAAATCAGGCCCAGGCGACCACTTATCTCCAAATCCAACAGACCTTGGCCCAGGAACAGGATCATCATCTCCATTCCCATCATGGACATCAACATGAACATCACCCCCATTCCCATCATGAACATCATCCCTGTTCTCATCATGAACATCAATATGACCATCACCCCCATTCCCATCAAGAACATCAACATGAACATCACCCCCAAATCCATCATGAACATCAACATGAACATCCATTCCCATCATGGAAATCAACATGACCATCATCCCCATTCCTATCATGAACATCAATATGACCATCATCCCCATTGCCATCATGAACATCAACATGACCATCACACCCATTCCCATCATGAACATCAACATGACCATCACACCCATTCCCATTATGAACATCAACATGACTATCATCCCCATTCCCATCATGAACATCAACATGACCATCATCTTCATTTCCATCATGAACATCAACATGACCATCATCCCCATTCCTATCATGAACATCATGAACATCATCCCCATTCCCACCATGAACATCAACACGACCATCATCCCCATTCTCCTCATGAACATCAACATGACCAACACCCCCATTCTCATCATGAACATCAACATGACCATCATCCCCATTCCCATTATGAACATCAACATGACTATCACCCCCATTCCCATCATAAACATCAACATGACCATCACCTCCATTCCCATCATGAACATCAACATGACTATTATCCCCATTCCCGTCATGAACATCAACATGACCATCATCCCCATTTCCATCATGAACATCAACATGACCATCACCTCCATTCCCATCATGAACATCAACATGACTATTATCCCCATTCCCGTCATGAACATCAACATGACCATCATCCCCATTTCCATCATGAACATCAACATGACCATCACCCCCGTCCCCATCATGAACATCAATATGACTATCATCCCCATCGCCATCATGAACATCAACATGAACATCAGACACAACCAAAGCAAATACTCTCTGTTTGAGAGTATTTGCTTCTGTGAAATGCAAGGAGTGGAGGCTCCATTAGCCATAGCTTTTGAACTAAGAAGGCATGATCATCAAGTTTGCAGACGACACCAAATTGGGAGGGATAGCCAATAGTCCAGAGGACAGGAGCAGGATTCAAAACGATCTTGACAGATTAGAGAGATGGGCCAAAACTAACAAAATGAAGTTAAACAGTGACAAATGTAAGATACTCCACTTTGGCAGAAAAAATGAAATGCAAAGATACAGAATGGGTGACGCCTGGCTCGAGAGCAGTACGTGTGAAAAAGATCTTGGAGTCCTCGTGGACAACAAGTTAAACATGAGCCAACAATGTGATGTGGCGGCAAAAAAAGCAAATGGGATTTTGGCCTGCATCAATAGGAGCCTAGTGTCTAGATCTAGGGAAGTAATGCTACCCCTCTATTCTGCTTTGGTTAGACCACACCTGAATATTGTGTCCAATTCTGGGCACCACAATTCAAGAGAGATATTGACAAGCTGGAATGTGTCCAGAGGAGGGCGACTAAAATGATCAAGGGTCTGGAGAACAAGCCCTATGAGGAGCGGCTTAGGGAAATGGGCATGTTTAGCCTGAAGAAGAGAAGGCTGAGAGGAGATATGATAGCCATGTATAAATATGTGAGAGGAAGCCACAGGGAGGAGGAGGGAGCAAGCTTGTTTTCTGCTTCCTTGGAGACTAGGACGCAGAACAATGGCTTCAAATTACAAGAGAGGAGATTCCATCTGAACATGAGGAAGAACTTCCTGACTGTGAGAGCCGTTCAGCAGTGGAACTCTCTGCCCCGGAGTGTGGTGGAGGCTCCTTCTTTGGAAGCTTTTCAAGCAGAGGCTGGATGGCCATCTGTCAGGGGTGATTTGAATGCAATATTCCTGCTTCTTGGCAGGGGGTTGGACTGGATGGCCCATGAGGTCTCTTCCAACTCTTTGATTCTATGATTCTATGATTCTATGATTCTAAGATGTGTCCATGGTTTGAAATGCATTTCTGGACTCATTTGGATGGCTTTAAGCTCCTCAAAACTTTGCCTTTAGCACAAATAAGGATATTTCTATCATGTCATTTCTCAAGGCAGGCCAACCCGGGCGTCGGAAAGGTGGCATTTCAGCCACTTAATTGGACCCCTATGGAATATATATCCGGAGCAAGGCAGAAAGGTAGCTGGTGGCAATCGTTAATGGAGAGACTCCCAGCAAAGAGAGGAGAAAATAATGAAAACAGAGAGAAAGAGGGCACATGGCTGAACACAACACCAAGTTGCAAAGCACAACAGCAGTGTTATGTATGGTGCAATCGTACCTTGCTGTTCTGGATCAGTCGGATGATATGCTCAAAGCAGTTGTTGCTGAGGAAGATGGCTTGCAAAACAGGCCGGTCGTCGCAGTTTAACATTTCGGGGATGGCGTCTGAAGACGAGAGAGAAGATGTGGGACTTCGATAAACTAGCAGCACGTTACAGCCAATTTTTGCCAACTAATTCTCTGAAATAGTTGGTACCAGAATAACTTTGAGATACTTTGGAGACGAGACCCACGTTGAAATACAAAATTCATTTATGCTTTGTTCGTGTTGCACACATGTAGCCTGGAGGTGATTTTATATAATATTTCAATTGGGGTTATTTTTTTGCATGAATTCTGGAATGACCCAGAATGATGGGAGTTGTAGTCCACCCTCTACCAAAGAGCTCTGTAAACCCCATTAACAACAGATCTGGACCAAACATGAGCAACTTTTATGACTGATGGAGTTTGGGAGGGACTGAGTCAGAATGATGGGAGTTGTAGTACACCTACATTCAGAGAGCCCAGTGAATCCCACTGATGATGGATCTGGACCGAACTTGGCACACAGACCAAACATGGTGAACTGTAAGGACTGGTGGGGTTTGGGAGGGATTGACCCAGAATGATGGGAGTTGTAGTTCACTTGCATCCAGATAGCACTGTCAACCCCACCAATGATGGATCTGAACCAAACTTGGCACACAGACCAAACATGCCTAACTTTAAGGATAGGTGGGGTTTGGGAGAGACTGACCCAGAATGATGGGAGTTGTAGTCCACCCTCTACCAAAGAACCCTGTGAACTCCACTAACAACGGATGTGGACCAAACTTGGCACACAGACAAAACATGGCCAATTTTAAGGACTGGTGGAGTTTGGGAGGGACTGACCCAGAATGATGGGAGTTGTAGTTCACTTGCATCCAGAGAGCCCTGTGAACCCCACCAATGATGGATCAGGACCAAACTTGACATACAGACCAAACATGCCCAACTTTAAGGACTGGCGGGGTTTGGGAGGAATTGACCCAGAATGATGGGAGCTGTAGTTCACCTGCATCCAGAGAGAATTGTTTAAACCCCCCAGAAGTAGATCTGGACCAAACTTGGCACGCAGACCAAACATGGGCAATTTTAAGGACTGATGGAGTTTGGGAGGGGCTGACCCAGAATGATGGGAGTTGTAGTACACCCACATCCAGAGAGCCCTGTGAACCCCACTGATGATTGATCTGAACCAAACTTGGCATGCAGGCCGATCATGACAATCTGAAAATCTGGTGGGTATTTTGGCTGGGGGGTGGGGAGGGGTGGACATTGCATGATGGGAGTTGTAGTTCATCCTTTATCAAAGCTCACCATGAACCCCACCAACAATGGATCTGGACCAGATCTGATGCACATACCCAACTTGGCCATTTTTAAGGATTGGAGGAGTTTGAGAGGAATTGACCCAGAAGGATGGGAGTTGTAATCCACTCTCTACCAAAGGGCACTGTGAACCCCACCAACAATGGATCTGGACCAAACTTGACCAACTTTAAGGCACAGAGACCAAACATGACCAACTTTAAGGACTGGCAGGGTCTGGGAGGGATTGGCCCAGAGTAATGGGAGTTGTAGTACACCCACTCCTGACTGAAGGACTCTAAGCCCAGTGTGTCCATTGTCTGCATACCTAGCATGCTGACCCTGAGGGCAACGAGCCGTTCCTCCCACCGTCCACCTGGAGAGCCCTGCATGGCAGCCACAGGCTGGTCAGCGTTGAGGACCTGGAAGTAGCTGTCCAGGATGGCGCGGATCTCCACCTTGCGCTGCCCAGGGGGGCTGCCAGCATGCAAGACGTGCACCATGCCCACCAGGCTCTTCAAGGTCAGTGCCAGCACATTGGGGTCTCCAGCGGGGGGCAGGCTTCCTGGTGAGCACCACCTGCGCAGCACCAGCATCAGGACTTCCACCGAGGACGGAGTCACCGCCAGCAGGGCATTGGCCTGCGGAGGAAGGAGCATGGTCATGGAATCATAGAATCATAGAGTTGGAAGAGACCCCAAAGACCATCTAGTCCTACCCCTTGCCATGCAAGAAAAACACAATCAAAGCACCCCCCAACAGATGGCTGCCCAGCCTCTGTTTCAAAGCTTCCAAAGAAGGAGCCTCCACTATTTATTTATTTATTTATTTACGTATACGGCAAACATTCAATGCTGTTATACACTGACAAGACAGACAACTGTACATAGATAGAGATATATATAGGTTTTCCCATCTTCGGCATCTTGGAGGCTGTGCCCGGTTCTGGCCACCGGGGGTGCTGTCTCTCCATTTTCCCTGCCAAAGAGCTTTGCTTGTAAACTTCCTCCTTGATTGAATTGCTGGCATTTTTCTGTAATTTCCTTCTGGGTGCCTTAAATATCTCCCTGCTTTAGAGTGGTGTCTATTTATCTACTCACATTTGTTTTTGTCAGGTTTTACAATGTATTGTAATGTAATATAGCTGAGTCATGCACTGCTAATGGGCATCTATTGGGAATGCTGTCATGCATTAACTGTATATAGAACTTCATTTGGGGAATGTGTTCTGGCCTAGTCCAGGCGATTGTGAATGATGTAATCCTGGGTCTGAGTTAAGTTAATGAGTTGGGAACCAATCAGAGATTGCTGTGTGTAAATGAATTGTATATAAGGAAGTCATGTACAGTGTATATTTCTCCTTGTGCTGTGATGTTGTTTGTCAAAGGCTATATGTAATTAAAGAACCTGTCTGCTAAGACAAGATATAACTGTATGCTGTGATAAGTTTGTAATATCATCTAGACTGGAGGAAAGACAATGGTAAAACTGACAATGGCCGGGCATGTGCTCAAGTGTCTGTAAAAGGTTCCAGAGTGACCTTGCAGGCTGTGGGAGCAGTTGACTGAAAATACTGTGCAGGAAGGAGCTACTGGAAAGCGCTGAAGTTGTGCAACTGATCTGCTGCTGAATTGTGAAGTTAATCTCAACAGTTTTCAAACTGCTAGGTAGGCAGAAGCAGGGCTAAAGGCCAGGAGCTCACCCTGACCTGGGTTTCGAACTGTCAACCTTTTGATCAACAAGATATATGGCAGCTGGTGGTTAACCTGTTATGCTAAAGCCCAGCCCTTTCTAGAGCCTCCAATATAGCTGTATGGTCAACATCTGTTGGAAGTTGATCATTAAATCCTACTAGAGGACCCATAAAATCCCAGAGAAGGTCCTAAACCACAAATCTGTGGTCAGCTTCTGGTACGAGTCATCTGTGGTCAGCTTCTGGTACGAGTCACACTGGATGTAGGATTTCCTACAGAGACCACATGAATCAACCTAGCAATCTCTAGGTCCTCCAGTGCAACTGTATGATCAACTTCCATTAGAAGTTGACCCTAATATCATGCTAAAGAAAACATCTTTCTAGGAATCTCCAAGTGTGAACTGATGTTCAACGTCTGGTGGAAATCAACCATAAAGTTGTCCTGGAGGACTTACCAAGAGAGGTATTAGTTCAGGTCAAAACGGCCAAAACACCTGCAAATTTGCTATTAGCAGTTTTTCAAGTTTTGCAAGGATGCTGCGATCCCAGCACATATGGAAGACTGACCCTAAATTTAAGAGAAAGAAGGCCACTCTTACCTTGGATCCGGAGATGATGGCTCCGAAGAGATGGATCAGCCGTAGCTGGAGAGCCTCTGGAAGCTGTTCTCCATCCTTGAAGCATTCTGGCAAAGAAGAGGAAGAGAGAGGTTTAGTCTGGGATCTATGGAGCAAATGGCACAGCAAGGTGAAAGTTGTGGGGGGGCAAGATGCTGGGGAATCCTCAGAAGATGTGGGGGATGGTGGTGGTTTTCCCACTGAGTCTGTGTGTAATCAGGCTGAAACACATACTGAATTGCAGATCTTAGATCAGAGAGAAATACTGGCAGTTGCAGATGAGAGAGAAGATGTTTGGGATTGTGTTTATCTTGGGAATTAGCCTTCAGCAGATTGAGAGTTTTCCCGAGATATCAGATTAGGACTCTGCACAGAGGGAGTGAAGAATAGATTAGCTAGACGGTCAGAAAGACTCTGTGAGAAGTCCTTGAAACTCAGGTGTCAAAGGTATGACCTCATGGCTTCATGGTCGGGTCCGAGCTTAAATTAAGTGATGTTTTCTTGGTGTTTCCAGAGCAGACAACATTCCTGTTTCAGTTCTCATGCTCATGAGTCTAGTCCTGTGGTTCTCAACCTGTGGGTCCCCAGATTTTTTGGCCTTCAACTCCCAGAAATCCTAACAGCTGGTAAACTGGCTGGGACTTCTGGGAGTTGTAGGCCAAAACACCTGGGGACCCACAGGTTGAGAATCACTGGTCTATTCTCCCGTGTTTGCCTATGTTCCTGTAAGAATTTTGCCTTGAAAAAGCTTCTGTTTTCATGCTCATGGATTTATGCCTGTGATCTTAATTTCCTGGATTTATACTTGGAATCTTGATTTCCTGGATTCCATGTACCTTGCCTTTGTTGACTACTGAACTTTGTATATATGGACTATTGCTATTTTATAGCACCTCTTCTACTGCTTTTTGGAAATTGCCTTTTTCCTCCTTTGTACGTGCTTTTGTAAATAAATGCTGTAGTTAGATACTACTGGACTCTAGTGTGGTGCTGGGTGGAAAAGGTGACCTCAAGGCTATAGTTTCTAAAAGTTACTAGAACTCTTAGAACTCTCAACCTAACATGGAATAACAGTTGGAACATCCAGCCCAGATGCACCCAATATGGCATTGAACCGCGACTGTGCAAACTTTGCAATGCTGTTATCAACGGTCCACATGAAAGGGATCTAGGTGTCCTAGAAGACTACAAACTGAACATAAGTCAAGAGTGTGATGAGGCAGCTAAAAAGGCCAATATGATTCTAAGAGAATAGTGTCTACTAGAATGATCAAGGGAATTCATGGTTCTACTCTCTTCATGTCCTTTTGCAATGTCACTTCTATAAGGATATTCGATCTGTTTTTCTTACTCCCATTGTACAGAAGATCCCTGACATAAATTAAAAATATTTCCTTCTGTCCAGTACCGGGCACCATACCCAAGGAACATATGGACAAGATGGAAGATGTGACCAAAATGGTCAATAGTTTCTAAACCAAGCCCTACAAGGAAACATTGAGGGATTTGGGGATGTTTACCTTGGAGAAAAGAAGGCTGAGAAAAGGGGACAAAGATCTATGTTTTGTTTGTTTGTTTGTTTGTTTATTATTTACAGTATTTATATTCCGCCCTTCTCATCCCGCAGGGGACTCAGGGCCGATCACAATGCACATATACATGGCAGACATTCAAAGCTCTCGATCCCGCCTGCAACTCAGGCACGGTTGGCGGGGACGAGGGACAGGGCCTTCTCAGTGGTGGCCCCTCGGCTGTGGAACGCCCTTCCCACAGACATTAGATCGGCTCCCTCATTAATGGCATTTCGGAAGAAAATGAAAACCTGGTTATTTGAACAGGCGTTTGAATAGGCAGTGCAATGAATTATAATGAATTATAGGAAATCGTAACAACGGATGACGAGCTTGGATTATGATTTTAGTTATGAGACGCTAATGAGTTGTTATTGATGTTTATTCATGTTAATTGCTTAGTGTATTGTTGTGTTAATTGTTTTTTATATAGTTTGTATGATGCTAGCATTGAATTTCTGCTGCTGTTTGTTGTTAACCACTCTGAGTCGCCTAAGGGCTGAGAAGAGTGGTATACAAATAAAGTAAATAAAGTAAATAAATAAACAGACACACAACATATATAGACAGACACACAGAGGCTATTTAACTTTCCAGCTTCATGAACGTATGCTTCGAATTCTGGCCACCGGGGGAGCTGTTGCTTCACCGTTCACTTGTGACACCGATGGAATACTTCCTCATTCTTTTACACATTGCTGAAGAGTTTTATGGCATCGTCAATTAGTTAAATTAGCCTCCCCGTATAAGCAGTACCTAAATTTCCTACTTGACAGATGCAACTGTCTTTTGGACTGCAAATGTTGACAGCAAACTAGACAAATGGTCGGGAGTGCCAGGGCTGGCACTCATGACCATTTGGTCAGTAGTGATTTTAATGTAGCTGACTTCCAACCAGCTGCGCCACAGCCCGATTTAAGTATTGGATATTATGTCCCATTGAAGAAGGCGAAAATGGTTTTCTAGGACACAGTGAGAGCAATAGATTCAAAGTGCTAGAGAAGTGATTGCATATAAACATTAGGAAGAACTTCATGACCCTATAAGCCAGTGTTTCTCAACCTGGGGGTCGGGACCCCTGGGAGGGTTGCGAGGGGGTGTCAGAGGGGTCACCAAAGACCATCTGAAACACAGTATTTTTTGCTGGGCATTGGGGTTCTGTGTGGGAAATTTGGCCCAATTCTATCATTGGTGGGATTCAAGGGGCTCTTTGATTGTAGGTGAACTATAAATCCCAGCAACTACAACTTCTAAATGTCAAGGTCTATTTTCCCCAAACTCCACCAGCGTTCACATTTGGCCATATTGAGTATTGAGTATTCATGCCAAGCTTGGTCCAGATCCATCATTCTTTGAGTTCACAGTGCTCTCTGGATGTAGGTGAACTACAACTCTAAAATTCAAGGTCAACGCCCACTAAACCCTTCTAGTATTTTCTGATGGTCATGGGAGTTTTGTGTGCCAACTTTAGTTAAATTCCATTGTTGGTGGAATTCAGAATGCTCTTTGATTGTAGGTGAACTATGAATCCCAGCAACTACAACTCCCGAATGACAACTCTCCCCCAAGCCCACCAATATTCAAATTGGGGCGTATTGGGTATTTGAACCAAATTTGGTCCAGTGAATGAAAACACATCCTGCATATCTGATATTTACATTACAATTCATAACAGGAGCAAAATTAGAGTTATGAAGTAGCAACAAAAATAATTCTATGTTTGGGGGTCACCACAACATGAGGAACTGTATTAAGGGGTCACAGCATTAGGGAGGTTGAGAAACACTGCTATAAGCTGTTGGCCAGCCCGGTGGAGTCTCCTTCTCTGGGATTTTTTAAAAATCTGGATGGCCATCTGTTAGGAGTGCTTTGATTGTGTGTTCTTGCATTGCACAATTAGGTTGGACTACAAGGCCTCTGGGGGTCCCTTCCAACTCTATACTATGCAACACAATGTTTGTTCCTGGGTTATAAAGGTCATTTCCTAATTAGTTCTATCATTAAAAAATGACAAAAGTTTATTAAACTGCAAAAAAACTTTGTTTCTGCAAGATAACATCATCCGCTGAGGCACATTTTGCTCTAGTTCTCCTTCGTTATGACCCAATGCCTTCCTTCACTTCGCAACGTCCCATGCATTGCTACACTGCGGCTGTGATGAAACCATGCACTAAGAGGAGTTCAATCAGGTCAGAGGTTCAATTGGTTGAGACTTAGGCTGTATCTACACTGGAAAAATTAATGCAGTTTGGTACCACTTGAACTACCATGGCTCAATGCTACGTTATTATGAGGGCTGTAGTTTTCTATGCTCTTTGCTATCCTCTCCCCAAAAGTGCAAACACCAAACTACAAATTCCAGGAGTGTTGCACTCCAGGTCAGGAAGAAGCCCTCTGACTTTAAAACACTCCACACGAAGAGTGAAGAAACAAATCTTCTTTTACTGAAGCTTAGTAAATAGCCAGAAGAAATAAATGCTTGTAAGAAAATAAGAAGGTTCCAAAAAGTAATAAGTCCATAAAAAGCAGTAACACAAAGCAATGTCCACACAAGTAATAAAAGCAATCCAAGACAGCATTAATCCAGACAGGAATCAACAGGATGCAAAGACAATCCAAAAGGCTAAAAAACTCCACAGGAACAAGACCCCTTGAACAGGATTTCCATGGCACATGAACTTGATTTCCAAACGATGCCTGATCTAACAGGTTTCCCCTTGAGGCAAACCTTATATCCCAAAACTCAGAAATTGGTTTCGCTTTCCCCCACATTTACCCCTTATCAGACGAAGCCTTTCAGAGCGACGTAAACACTGAGTTTGCTGTCGATACTGGCTAATAATAATAATAATAATCCTTTATTTGTACTCCGCTACCATCTCCTGGTGGACTCAGTGCGGCTTACAAGAGGCCAAGCCCAAATACATCAGTAAAAACACAACAACAACAATACGACAAAATGAACTCAAAACAAAACAATAAACATTAACAAAACACCACAACGCATTAAAATCCATGTAATAGTTAAAATTAAAAATATGCTGGGCATGACTAGGTGAAAAGGGTAGGTATTTGGAGCGGGATGGGCATGGAGATATCCTGGGTCTCTAGTAAAGTGCATTTGGGAACATATTGCTTGGAGTTTCCTTATTCTGGGAAGGCACACTGTAACAGCCACGTTTTCAAGCTCCTCCTAAAAATTGCCAACGTTGGGGCATGCCTGATGTCCTTAGGGAGAGAGTTCCAGAGTCGAGGGGCCACCACCGAGAAGGCCCTGTCCCTCGTCCCCACCAATCGCGCTTGCGATGCAGGTGGGATCGTGAGCAAGGCCTCTCCAGATAATCTCCTATTCTTCAACTACCTATCTGGCTGCTCATTAAAATTCCCAGGTGTCAGATTGCTTTCCAAACCCAAATCTTGAGAGCTCACAGAGAGAGGGAGTGAACTATCATTGCTAGACCCAGCAGGGATATTGTCATGAGAAACTGCCCTTTTCACTGGGGCCTCTCTGTCATTGTCTGCATTTATTTCTCGTGTCAGGGCAACCAGTCAATTATATTACATTTCTAACAGAACAAAGCAAACAAACAGAGAAAATACAAAATGTGTGAGTTTGGTAGTTGATTAAATGTCCTTTGACCAGTATCTGGCCACTTGGAGTGCTTCTGGTGTTGCTGCAAGAAGGTCCTCCATGGTGCATGTGGCAGGGCTCAGGTTGCATTGCAGCAGGTGGTCAGTGGTTTGCTCTTCTCCACACTCGCATGTCGAGGATTCCACTTTGTAGCCCCATTTCTGAAGGTTGGCTCTGCATCTCGTGGTGCCAGAGCGCAGTCTGTTCAGCACCTTCCAAGTTGCCCAGTTTTCTGTGTGCCCAGGGGGGAGTCTCTCATTTGGTGTCAGCCACTGGTTGAGGTTCTGGGTTTGAGCCTACCACTTTTGGACTCTCGCTTGCTGAGGTGTTCCAGCGAGTGTCTCTGTAGATCTAGAAAACTATTTCTAGATTTAAGTCGTTGACGTGCTGGCTGATACCCAAACAGGGGATGAGCTGGAGATGTCTCTGCCTTGTTCCTTTCACTATTGGCTGCCACTTCCCGGCGGATGTCAGGTGGTGCGATACCGGCTAGACAGTGTAATTTCGCCAGTGGTGTAGGGCGCAGACACCCCGTGATAATGCGGCATGTCTCATTAAGAGCCACATCCACTGTTTTAGCGTGGTGAGATGTGTTCCACACTGGGCATGCATACTCAGCAGCGGAGTAGCACAGCACAAGGGCAAATGTCTTCACTGTGTCTGGTTGTGATCCCCAGGTTGTGCCAGTCAGCTTTCGTATGATATTGTTTCTAGCACCCACTTTTTGCTTGATGTTCAGGCAGTGCTTCTTGTAGGTCAGAGCACGGTCCAGAGTGACTCCCAGGTATTTGGGTGCGCTGCAATGCTCCAGTGGGATTCCTTCCCAGGTGATCTTCAGAGCTCGGGATGCTTGTCTGTTCTTGAGGTGAAAAGCACATGTCTGTGTTTTAGATGGATTAGGGATCAGCTGGTTTTCCCTGTAATAGGCAGTAAGAGCACCTAGAGCTTCGGAAAGCTTCTGTTCTACCATCTCAAAGCTCCCTGCTTGAGCAGTAATTGTCTGCATGAAAACCATTGACCAAACCATCTCCATCTTATACCTCCGCCTCAGCACCATCATTTCCCTCATCGTTTCCCCATCAGGATCCTGAAACACAAACACAGGCTGATTCCCAACACGGAGTCTATAGCATTGAGCCAAGTGGTCCCAAACTGCATTAATTCTGCAGTGCAGGTGCACCCAATATGGCTTTGAACCACAACTGTGCAAGCTTTGCAATGCTGTTATCAAATCTACTTTTTGTAGAATTCTAGAGAAGGAATTCTAGAGAGAAGGTCATCCAGTCCAACCCCATTCTACAATTCAGGAAGATGCGCTCAAAGCCATCCTAACAGATGGCCATCCAATCTCTCTCTCTTTATTTATTTATTTGCAAAATTTGCAAAAATTGGAAGGCTCAAGTTGTTGCTTATTCGACTATAACAAGCATCTCTTAACCGCATGGATGCTATTCTGAGTATTGAAACTAATGCACTTCTATTCTTTCTTATCTGTCCGGCTTGCCCGGAGAAATCCCCCATTTGCACAAATATGTGTGTGCATGTGTGTGTGTGTGTGTGTGTGTGTGTGTGTGTGTGTATACATATATATGGCAATCGATACAAGTTCTGGGACTCAGCAGGAAAACCCCGTAAAAACTCCCGAGGGTATTTCCACTAAAATCTTCAACGCTTTCTGCAAATCAATTCCAAGCTTTTTATAAATCCATTGCTCTTAATTAATTTCATGCTTCTCTCTCTCTTTCTCTCTCTCTCCCCATATATATATCTATATAAATAAAAATGTAATGTTAGTTCGTGCTACCATCAGAACTCAAAAACCACTGGGGGAATTGACACCAAATTTGGACACAAGACACCTAACAGTCCAATTTATGTCCTCCACTAAAAAAAATTGATTTTGTCATTTGGGAATTGTTGTTGCTGGGATTTATAGTTTACCTACAATCAAAGTGCATTCTGAACTCCACCAATGATGGAATTGGGCCAAACTTAGCACACAGGGCTCCCATGACCAACAGATAAAACTGGAAGGGTTTGGTGGACATTGACCTTGAGTTTGGGAATTATAGTTCACCCACATCCAGACTTAAACAAAGATGGATCTGGACCAAACTTGGCACTGATATTCCATATGCCCAAATATGAACACAGATGGAGTTTAAGGGAAATAGACCTTGACATTTGGGAGTTGTAGTTGCTGGGATTGATAGTTCACCTACAATCATACAGCATTCTGAACTCCACCAATGATGGAATTGAACCTAACTTGGCATACAGACTCCCATGACCAACACAAAACACTGGAAGGGTTTGGTGGGCATTGACCTTGAGTTTGGGAGTTGTAGTTCACCTACATCCAGAGAGCACTGTGGACTCAAACAATGATGGATCTGGACCAAACTCGACAAAAATATTCCATATGCCCAAATATGAACACAGATGGAGTTTGGAGGAAATAGACCTTGACATTTGGGATTTGTAGTTACTGGGATTTATAGTTCACTACAATTAAAGAGCATTCTGAAACCCACAAACGACAGAAATGGGGCAAACTTCCCACACAGAACCCCCATGACCAACAGAAAATACTTAAGGCCATCCAGTCCAACTCTCTTCACCAGGGCAAGAAAATGTAATCAGAGCCCTCCTGACAGAGAGCCATCCAGTCATAAATATAGATAGATAGTTAGGATTCTCTCACACACAGAGAGATATAGTATCATAGATTGGAAAGAGACCCTTAAAGAAGGACTATGATATGTTCCATATTCCAGAGTGGGCAAACCAGACACTCTCCACATCAACACTGACAAAGAAACAGCAAGAAATACTGTTTACCCACAAGCATAAAGAAATTACATATATTAGAAACCAACACTTTCTCATTACTTTATTTCCAGATCACCAGACTGGGCCACAGCAACGCGTGGCAGGGGACAGCTAGTATATATGTGTGTGTGTGTGTGTGTGTGTGTGTGTGTGCGTGTGCATTAAGCATGGGCAAACTTTGTACCTCCAGGTGTTTGGACTTCAACTCCTAACGGCTGTACATAAATAAATAATAAATAAACAAATTGCATGACTGATTTAGAAAAGATGCTGAAGTAGGGTTTGCTAACAGAAAATCAACATTAGAAAGTATTTTTGAGACAGGATAAGGGTAGATTTTATGAGATATGGGACTCACAATGTCAGAAGTCATGGGAAAGATAGGATAGGATATTGCAATGTATCTGTTTGGGGGAAAATTGATAGAGGAGGATGGACGCCTTCCAGGCTTACCTTGGAAAAAAGAGTTGAACTCCTGGGGCAACACGGCCGGTGCAAACTTGTATTTGCTCTTCTCTTTCATACTGACGATCTCCCTGGGAAAGACAAAGCGAGAAGCTTCAGGCATGAATTCGCGATGGATGGGTGCAAGCCAAGCCAACGGTCCCCAGCACAACTCTACGGCATTCTGAAAACGTTGGAAGGGGACCCCAAAGGGTATCTAGTCCCAACCCCCTTCTGCCATGAAGGAAAACCTATTAACAACAACAACAATGCAGTTTAATTTATTAATAGAACACCATCCAATCCCTCGTGACATATGGCCATACACTGATTATTATTATTATCATTACCTAAGGATCACAACCAGATACAGTGAAGACATCTGCCCTTGCGCTATGCTACTCTGCTGCTGAGTATGCATGCCCAGTGTGGAACACATCTCACCACGCTAAAACAGTGGATGTGGCTCTTAATGAGACATGCCGCATTATCACGGGGTGTCTGCACCCTACACCACCGGAGAAATTACACTGCTTAGCCGGTATTGCACCACCTGACATCCGTCGGGAAGTAGCAGCCAATAGTGAAAGGACCAAGGCAGAGACATCTCCAGCTCATCCCCTGTTTGGGTATCAGCCAGCACGTCAAGACTTAAATCTAGAAATAGTTTTCTAAGATCTACAGAGACACTCGCTGGAACACCTCAGCAAGTGAGAGTCCAAAAGTGGCAGGCTCAAACCCAGAACCTCAACCAGTGGCTGATACCAAATGAGAGACTCCCCCCTGGGCACACAGAAAACTGGGCGACTTGGAAGGTGCTGAACAGACTGTGCTCTGGCACCACGAGATGCAGAGCCAACCTTCAGAAATGGGGCCACAAAGTGGAATCCTTGACATGCGAGTGTGGAGAGGAGCAAACCACTGACCACCTGCTGCAATGCAACCTGAGCCCTGCCACATGCACAATGGAGGACCTTCTTGCAGAAACACCAGAAGCACTCGGAGGGGCCAGATACTGGTCAAAGGACATTTAATCAACTACCAAACTCACAAATTTTGTATTTTGTCTGTTTGTTTGCTTTGTTCTGTTAGAAATGTAATAAAATTGACTGGTTGCCCTGACACAACAAATAAAATAAATAGGCAGCTACATTGCGAACACAGAGCACACTGCTATCAGCATTAGTCCACACCTCCTGCATTCCAGAGTGACGTATAACATACGACAACTACGCTGCATCCATTGCCCTCTGCACTAAGATTCATGACCTCTCTAGGAATGCAGATTCCCTTCATGGTTCAGTTCCACACAGGAAAAACACTTGGCACATAGCATTACATTTTAAACATACAAAAACACTCTGAAACACATTTCAAAACACATCAACAAAAGCAGAGCCAAAAACTGCATTGGTTTGACAGGGTAGTAGATGCACTATGAGCTGTAACAAAGAAATATGTCCATCTCGAAGTGCAAAAAAAATTGGATAGAAAAGTCTGCAGGAAACAATAACAACATCATCATCATCATCAACAACAACAAAACTATGTCTCTGAAACCCAAGATCAAATGGTATACCGGCTCCATAAATTTAGCTTTTATAATGTCTAAAACCAATTAGGAAATGACATGTATAACCCAGGAACAAAAATTACAGTATTGCATAGCATTGTCATCATCATCCTCATCATCATCATGGGGACTCACCCACTCAGCTGTCTCCTCCAGGTCTGGTAGGGATCAAAGAGGCATTCGGAGAGGTGCAGCGTGTAAAAGGTTACTTTCTCCAGCTGACTCTTGCAAGGCAAAGGCTGAGGGCTTTTCAGCTGCCAAACATACATAAACACACATAAAAAACCCTTAGTTAGTCCTCAGACTTGATGGTGTTTTTCTATCAAAAATGCAAAAAAGCTTCCCTCCTAATCAAATAGCTACTTGACATACAAGCATGTCATTAAGCAAGCTTTGATTAGAGAGGGAAAAATCTGAGATGGCCAATGGGGATAGCTCATAATGCATTTGATAAGAAGAGTGTGCAAAACAACCCCCAGGATTCCACAGCATTGAGCCATGGCACTAAAAGTGATGCCAAACTGCATTCATTCTCCAGTGCAGATCAGTGATTGCCACACTTTGGATCCTCATCCAGCTTGGTAAACAGTGGGGAATTCTGGGAGTTTGAAGTCCAAAACAAATGGAGGGAGGCAAAGTTTGGAAACTCCTGGAGATGTATCTGGAGAGGCTTGCAGGGAAGGAAGGTCTGCAAGAAGCAGTGCCAAAACCAACACCAATGCCACCCATTTCTTCTCTAGGGCAGTGTTTCTCAACCTGGGGGTTGGGACCCCTGAGGGGGTCACGAGGGGTGTCAGAGGGGTCACCAAAGACCATCAGAAAACACAGTATTTTCTCTTGGTTCTGTGTGGGAAGTTTGGCCCAATTCTATTCTTGATGGGGTTCAGAATGCTCTTTGATTGTAGATGAACTATAAATCCCAGCAACTACAACTCCCAAATGTCAAGGTCTATCTTCCCCAAATGCCACCAGTGTTTACATATGGGCATATTGTGTATTCGTGCCAAGTTTGGTCCAGATCCATTATTGTTTGAGTCCACAGTGCTCTCTGGATATAGGTGAACTACAACTCCAAAATTCTATTCTTGATGGGGTTCAGAATGCTGTGTGATTGTAGGTGAACTATAAATCCCAGCAACTACAACTCCCAAATGTCAAGGTCTATCTTCCCCAAACTCCACCATTGTTTACATATGGGCATATTGTGTATTCGTGCCAAGTTTGGTCCAGATCCATTATTGTTTGAGTCCACAGTGGTCTCTGGATATAGGTGAACTACAACTCCAAAATTCTATTCTTGATGGGGTTCAGAATGCTCTGTGATTGTAGGTGAACTATAAATCCCAGCAACTACAACTCCCAAATGTCAAGGTCTATTTACCCTAAACTCCATCTTGTGTTCAAATTTTGGCATATGGAGTATCTGTGCCAAGTTTGGTCCAGATCCTTCATTGAGTCCACAGTGGTCTCTGGATGTAGATGAACTACAGCTCCAAAATTAAAAGGTCAGTGCCCACCAAAACCTTCCAGTATTTTCTCTTGGTCGTGGAAGTTCTGTGTGCCAAGTTTGGTTCAATTCCAT